AGTGGTTACGTGTTTTTGTTGTTGTTGTTGACCTGTTGTTAAATTTGTGGGGCAAAGACCACTGTCCCGAAACGTCGACTGTCACGTGTCGTCTCTTTCAAGGCCACGCGCAGTGATTGTCGTTGTTGTTGTTGTTGACGCGTGTGTTGGAGTCGGTTGTTGGCTGTGCGTGTGCACCACTGCCCAGGCAGGCAGGCAGCAGCGTCACAAAATGAGTCGTCCGTAACCCAAAAACAACAAAACATTCCAGTATGATTATCACACCGCGCCAACAACCTGCCAACCTAAGTTCGAGTCGCGACCACGGATAACGCCAGTGGCGAGTGCTGCTGCATGAACTGCTCCTCGGCGTCACCAACCAGCGTGGTGAAGTATGGTCAAGCGGCCCTCGTGACCGACACGGCGAAGGGAGAGGTGCATCCAGCAGTAGATTGACGACGTCCTGAACATTCTAAATATTTAGAGAGCATTATGAGATCAACTAAGTCACGTGCATGATCCGGTAGGTCGGTGTGATCAGATGTGTATAACTGTGGACACTGGGATATGGGTTTGGGTGCGTCTTATAATCCTGAGAATTCTGGCAAACGCCCCAGTTCAATGTCGACACCTTTGGCTCTCCGTCGAAGCCCCGCGTTCAACTCTCGCTCAGCCGGAGGTCGCCCATTCTCCACTGCTGTACGGATGTATGCTGAACTATTTTCGCATTAGACGTAGCCAACCGTGCTAATCTGTTAATTGTCTGGGCCTCCCTTATTCCCCCTAATCCGTCCGTGCTGTTGACTCCTTTGCTCCAGTTCCTTGTCCAAGCCCAATATCTAGCTTTCTCTCCTCCACTGCATGTGACTGACTCCCTCTTTCTCTTCATCCCTCTGTCTCTCTCTCTCTCTACACACAAACACATATATATAGACAATAAGCAAGCCCTCTGTCTACGTACGGAGTCTGAAGTTGCGGCTGAATCTACTACAGACACGGAGTAAATGCGCGTTGTTCTGCTGTTGTTCTGCTGTTGCTGCTGCGTAGCTTTGTATAAAATAAACACGCGCGTCTCCCAGAGATCGGATTCCGCTCGAGAGTAAACAGAGGAAGACACGTGGGCCACGATCTCGACTCGCGCGTTCGTGCGCTCTCTAGGGGTACATAAAGATACACGAGGTTTCGTCTCCTCCGCTGTTGCACGCGGAACGCTTTTGCATAGCCGTGAGCGCCGCATTGCGTCACGCCACATGTGTCCCATAAAAGTATACATTGTAAAGTATAAACTGTAAAGTGTAAAACGACAACTATTTGTATGTTACCAGGTAAGGCCCACTGAGCCGTGTCGCTCTTTTTCAGGAGCGACCTGGCCATCGTAAATGATAGCCCAACGAAGTTGGCTTATCGCGTGGACATTTATGGCAGCCAAAACACTGTACTCTGAACGCGTGGTGATGTTGATTCTAAGTGTGGAGGGGAAACCCAAAGGACCCGCAGAAAAAGCCACGCGATCACGGGGAGAGAGAGAGTCATGCGAATTCCAAATATACAGCAGCAGGCGTCAGGGTCGGGATCGAACCCATGACCTCCTGTGTACTAGGCGAGGTAGTTAACATCTCCTAGCCACCACGGTACTCTGCTTCATCCAATCCGATCTTGCGCTCACGTCTTGCGACGCCTTTCCCCTCCCCCCACACGATTATCCGACGTTTCGCGCCACGTGCCAGAGAGCCTCGGGTGGGCGGGCAGTCGCCTCCTTGTCGCTCCGCGATCGCTGCCACGAGCAGGATCACCGTTCCACGTGGACCTCGCCCGTCCGTTCCTTCATTCGTGTTGATGACGCGGTCTGTACCATCATCTCACCCAGGCTGTGTTTAACCATCATACTCACTCACCCGCCCACTCACCCACCCACTGACCCACTCACTCACTCACCCACCCACTCACCCACCCACTCACCCACTCATTCACTCATTCACTCGCTCACCCACTCACCCACTCACTCATTCACTCACTCTCTCGCGCACCCACCCGCTCTCTCACCCGCTCACTCACCCATTCACTCACTCACCCACTCACTTACTCACTCACCCACTCACTCACCCGCTCACTCACTCACCCACCCACTCACCCACTCACTCACTCACCCACTCATTCACTCGCTGACCCACTCACTCACCCACCCACTCGCTCGCTCACCCACTCACTCACCCATTCACTCACTCACCCACTCACTTACTCACTCACCCGCGCACTCACCCACTCACTCACCCACCCACCCGCTCACCCACTCACTCACCCACCCACTCACTCACCCACTCACTCACCCACTCACTTACTCACTCACCCGCGCACTCACCCACTCACTCACCCACCCGCTCACCCACTCACTCACCCACTCACTCACTCACCCACTCACTCACCCACTCACTTACTCACTCACCCGCGCACTCACCCACTCACTCACTCACCCACCCGCTCACCCACTCACTCACCCACCCACTCACTCACCCACTCACTCACCCACTCACTCACCCACCCACCAGCTCACCCACCCGCTCACCACACTGCACGTCACCGCACTTCTCTGTCTGCCTCTCCCCTCGCGCTCTGCTCCACTTTGTAAATTCCCCTCCCACCGTCATCGATTTCCCCAAGCTCTTAAAGATCACAACAACAACCTGACTCAGTTCAATAAACGCGTTCGACTCTAACCCATGCCATCTCTGATAGTGCTGTTTCTTGCCGGTCGTTTGACGTTTTGTTCCCACACCCCCCCCCCCCCTTGCGCTTAGCAACCGCGTTGTCACACACAAAATAAATAATATATAAAAACAACCAATCACAACACAGGCTCGTTACCGTAGCAACAACCCCGGCGTGACACCGGCGACCATCCCTCGTGCCCCCCCCATCCCTCGTGCCCCCCCCCATCCCTCGTGCCCCCCATCCCTCGTGCCCCCCCATCTCTCGTGCCCCCCATCCCTCGTGCCCCCCCATCTCTCGTGCCCCCCATCCCTCGTGCCCCCCCATCCCTCGTGCCCCCCATCCCTCGTGCCCCCCCATCCCTCGTGCCCTCCCCCAGTCGCCCATTGAGCCACCGAACCAGAAGGGTCGCCCCCGTCTTGTCAGGAGAAGAACCTGGAGCGGGATTCCCATCCAGGCGAGAGAGTCCCGCGAACAGGGCCCGGTGTTTATTACTCGGCACCTGTGGACAACAACAACGACAACAACAAAATAGCTTCGTGGCATCGTCGGATTCGTCTCGCCCAGTCGAGAGACGAATGTGAACGAATCCGCGCGACGAGCACGACGACTCCGAAGCGCTCTAGCGCGTCGCGCGTCCAAGCCCCGAGTTCAACTCTCGTTCAGCGGGAGGTCGCCCACTCTCCACCGCTGTATGCTGGGAACTTCTTTCGCACCGCACCTAGCCCACCGTGCTCAGTTGGCCCTTCGCTTGAGCGATATTCGTGGTGGTAGCGGCGGAAGAGCGATCGGGAGGCGACCGATCGCCCGCCCGAAAACAGAGGCGGCTCCTAGCCAGAAGCTCCCAGCGCACGCGTCTACGGGGCCGTCCATAAATGACGTCACGCACTTAGGGGTGGGGGTCAGACATTTGTGACGATGCGTGACGAGGGCGGTGGGGGGGTTGAGAAATGTGACGTCACATCAAAATGAGCAACTTTAAATAAATACAGACAACACGTTCTAATTAATTAAATATACTTTTTTATGTTTTCTCCTACAACATCAGAGTGCAGCGCCACATTAAATACGCACTACAATGACGATAGTTTAAAAGCGATTTGAAGCATGTTTTATTTTTTTGGGAGGGGGGTGGGGGCAGAGCTTTGTGACGTCATATTTGAGGGGGTCTCTGACTTTTTGTGACGCCGTGTGACGATGGGGGGGGGGGGTAAAACATCGTACAAAATCGCGTGACGTCATTTATGGACGGCCCCTACCGGCGGGGTGACCACCGTCACAGAGGCAGCACGCCGGGCAGCCCCTTCCCGGCCAGCGCAGGGCAAAGAGCACAAACAGCGCAGTCCACGCCGCGGCTAGAGGCGACGTCCGACGTTGCAGGACCGGCACCAGACCCCGGTCACAGATCGATGCTCGCCACCCGAGCGCGACGCTGTGCGCCGCCGATTCCCCCGGAGTGTTCCGGCACGAGCCGTGTGCCGGTGGGGCAAGTCGAGTGCACGGGGGGGGGGGGGGGGTAAGTGGCCGTGGGGTTGCGTGGTGTTGCTGGTGGGGGTGGTGCCTGGTGGTAGAGGTGGTGGGTGGTAGTGGTGGGGGTGGCGCATGGTGGCGCGTAGTTTGTGGTGGGGTTGGGGTGGTGGGGGCTGGTGGTGGGGGTAGGGGTGGTGGGGCTGGTGGTGCGTAGTTGGTGGTGGTGGTGGTGGTAGGGGTGGTGGGGGTAGAGAGGGTGGGGGTAGGGGTGGTGGTGTGTGGTAGTGGTGGGTGGCGCGTAGTTGGTGGTGGGGTTGGGGATGGCGGGGGTGGTGGTGGCGTGTGGGGGTGGTGCGTGCTGCTGGGAACTTCTTCAGAGTAACCCGGACGGTGAAGCAGGACCTCTTAGAGGGGGGTGCAGGGTGAGGGCGAGGGGAGACCGAGCGAGACGGAGGGAGAGAGAGGGGGAGAGAGTTTGGCTCAAACACGCGTTTACCAACACGCCTCGCGTGAGTGTGTGTGGTGTGTGTCGCGTGTGGTGTGTGTCGCGTGAGTGTGGTGTGTATCGTGTGTGTGTGGTGTGTATCGTGTGTGTGTAGTGTGTGTGGTGTGTGTGTGTGTGTCGTGTGTGTGTGGTGTCTGTGTCGCGCGTGTGTGTGGTGTGTGTGTCGCGTGTGTGGTGTGTGTGCTGTGTGTGTGTCGCGTATGTGTGGTGTGTGTGGCGTGGGTGTGGTGTGTGTGGCGTGTGTGGTGTGTGTAGTGTGTGGCGCGTGTGTGTGGTGTGTGTGTCGTGTGCGTGTCGTGTGCGTGTAGTGTGTGGTGTGTGTAGTGTGTGGCGTGTGTGTAGTGTGTGGCGTGTGTGGTGTGTATGTGGCGTGTGTGTGGTGTGTGTAGTGTGTGGCGTGTGTGTGGATGCACGGGCCGAGCAGGTGAAAAGAACATGGAAAGAGTGGCAGGGATGGAGGCACGGGGAGATGGAGTGAGACACCGAGAGAGAGAGAGAGCGCGCGAGAGAGTTTGGCTGGAAGAGGCATTGATCAAGAGGAACTTCGCAATGCGTGCGTGTGCATCACAGTGGGGGTAATGCCGCGAGACGAGCAGGAGGAGGTGACGAGAGGGAGGCACAGAGAGAAAGAGAGAGAGAGGGGGGAGGCAGGGCAAGGCAAGGGGGAGAGAGAGAGGGTGGGGGAGGTTGGTTGATCGGAGGGCGCAGTTGGCAAAGACTCTCAGTGCGCGGCGGCGAGAAGCGAGAAAGCCAAAAAACAATCGGCAGATCACCTCCCCAGCGCCGGCCGCATTGGCCGTGTTGTTGTTGTACGACGTGTAGGTACAGCCTCCATCATGAGCGAGGCGAGCCGGAGGGAGTGAAGGCACGGGGAGGGAGAGACGAGGGAGCCTGTCCTGGCGTGGCGATGAAGTCGTAACGAGAGCGAGAGAGGCGGCGACACAGCCGGGGACCCTTGTGGATTGCGCAGACGCGAACCCGCTCCTGGGAGGGTGAGTCTCTCCTGCCGGTCACCACCACCACCACGTGCACCACCACCACCTCCACCACCACCACCACCTCCTCCTCCTCCTCCACCACCAGGGAATCATCACATCCCGGTCAGCACCACCACGTCCACCACCATATCCACCACCTCCACCACCACCAGGGATTCATCTGCATGCCGGTCACCACCACCACCTCTTCCTCCACCATCACGTCCACCAAAGACAGATATTTCCTTCGTATAGCCTGAACAGGCTGTAGGGGCAAGTGCTGTTAGCGAGCAGCACCTATGAAGGCCGGCACGGCACACGAGGGGGTGGGTGGCCAGCACCACGTCCGGCCACCTTTATCTCCCCAGTGGCGATGTTTACACACCGCACCAGGTACTCATTTGAGGCTGAGTCGACCCAGCGGAGGCCCATGACCGGTTCCGATAATCGTCACTGGTGTTCGCCGTGAGCGGGAATCTAACTCGGGTGGCCGGGTTCGTAGCGCAGCGCTCTAACCGCTACACTACCGCTCCCCTATCATCATCATCATCACGTCCACCACCAGCTCTACCTCCTCCTCCACTATCACGTCCACCACCACCATTACCACCAACACCACCACCACCTCCTCCACCATCACGTCCACCACCACCAAGACCAACTCCTGCACCACCACCACCACCATCACGTCCACCACCACCACCGCCGCCACCACCACTACCACGTGTCACCCGCGTGTCGTGTCGTCGCGTGCCGGGAGGGTTCCCCGTGGCCGTCTCGCGGACCCGGGCCGCCCTTCTCCCAGCGGCGGCGGTGTCGCCTCAGGCATCGCGAACCGAGAAGAATCTAAAACTTAACTCCCCCTCCAACATAACTCAATGAGCATCGGATTAATATAAAATGTATAGGGGATTGATCCGATTATATTCTCAAGCAAAACAAACTAATGATACATACTGGATAGGATTATTATCGCGAATAGCCAGTTAGTACCTCATCAGTATCCCGTCTGCATCTCTCATCTCACTCCATCTCGGTCTCTCGTATACCTACAGTACTGTATCTCTCATCTCAACTCGTAACATATCTTTCCTCTTGTCTATGCATCTCCTCTCATCTCTAGAGCTCTATCTCTTGTCCGCATCTCTTCTGCCATCTCACTGCGAGTTTAGAAACTGAAAGGGGGGGCGGAGGTAGGGGGGGCATGCCCCCCCCCCAGTGGGCCAACATCGCCACCAGATTCACCACTGCCGTCTCATCCAGGGGTTGGTGGATCACGTAGAGATTTTCTAGGCTGCGAGGTGGCCGCGAGATTGCAGCCCGGCAAGCGGGTCCCTGAGTGCTGTGGGTGTGTTCACGGTCAAAGCGGCATGCCGACAGGACCCTCCTGAGCAGGGAGTCTTGAGACTCAGTGGCGCGTGTTCGTGGCAAATGTTTTATTTCGAGTATTATCCGAGTCATGGCACTGGCGTGTCAGAGGTGTAAAAGTTACAATTCACTTCGCCTACGGTCGTTTTTTCCACGTTTTTGTGTCGTTGAAATCGCCTGACAAGTCTGATGTGGATGCCAACGTCGCATCCCCCGACTTTGCTGGGGGTGCACGCGGCTGTGTGGACAGGGCTCGCACGTGCCGAGACATCGCGAGCGCAGCGACACAGCCACGCCTGACGCAGGCGGCACTGGGTGGGGTGCCGTCCGTTCATTTGGTCGGGGCGGATATGCGACGTTGTGCTTGTAGCTATGGGACGTTGTGTATGTAGCTATGGGACGTTGTGCTTGTAGCTATGGGACGTTGTGTATGTAGCTATGGGACGTTGTGCTTGTAGCTATGGGACGTTGTGCTTGTAGCTATGGGACGTTGTGCTTGTAGCTATGGGACGTTGTGCTTGTAGCTATGAGACGTTGTGCATGTAGCTATGGGACGTTGTGCTTGTAGCTATGGGACGTTGTGTATGTAGCTATGGGACGTTGTGCATGTAGCTATGGGACGTTGTGCTTGTAGCTATGGGACGTTGTGCTTGTAGCTATGGGACGTTGTGTATGTAGCTATGGGACGTTGTCCATGTAGCTATGGGACGTTGTGCTTGTAGCTATGGGACGTTGTGCATGTAGCTATGGGACGTTGTCCATGTAGCTATGGGACGTTGTGCTTGTAGCTATGGGACGTTGTGCTTGTAGCTATGGAACGTTGTGTATGTAGCTATGGGACGTTGTGCATGTAGCTATGGGACGTTGTCCATGTAGCTATGGGACGTTGTGCTTGTAGCTATGGGACGTGGTCCATGTAGCTATGGGACGTTGTGCTTGTAGCTATGGGACGTTGTGCTTGTAGCTATGGGACGTTGTGTATGTAGCTATGAGACGTTGTGCTTGTAGCTATGGGACGTGGTCCATGTAGCTATGGGACGTTGTGTATGTAGCTATGGGACGTTGTGCTTGTAGCTATGGGACGTTGTGTATGTAGCTATGGGACGTTGTGTATGTAGCTATGGGACGTTGTGTATGTAGCTATGAGACGTTGTGCTTGTAGCTATGGGACGTTGTGTATGTAGCTATGGGACGTTGTGTATGTAGCTATGAGACGTTGTGTATGTAGCTATGGGACGTTGTGTATGTAGCTATGGGACGTTGTGTATGTAGCTATGGGACGTTGTGCTTGTAGCTATGGGACGTTGTGTATGTAGCTATGGGACGTGGTGTATGTAGCTATGGGACGTTGTGTATGTAGCTATGAGACGTTGTGTATGTAGCTATGGGACGTGGTGTATGTAGCTATGAGACGTTGTGTATGTAGCTATGAGACGTTGTGTATGTAGCTATGAGACGTTGTGTATGTAGCTATGAGACGTGGTCCATGTAGCTATGGGACGTTGTCCATGTAGCTATGGGACATGGTCCATGTAGCTATGGGACGTGGTCCATGTAGCTATGGGACGTTGTGCTTGTAGCTATGGGACGTTGTCCATGTAGCTATGGGACGTTGTGCTTGTAGCTATGGGACGTTGTGTATGTAGCTATGGGACGTTGTCCATGTAGCTATGGGACGTGGTCCATGTAGCTATGAGACGTGGTCCATGTAGTTGGATGTATTGTGATTGAGTCCGTGACGAGGTCGTAATGCACCGCTGGCTCAGTGACTCTCACAGTCCAGCAGTGCCCTGGTAAGTAACTAACTTGGGATGACATTGACACTCGCGCGCATGCACACAGTACAGCGCTTGCAACATATCTGCTGACAACCTAAGCCTAATAAAGGCGCACACGTGCTCAGTCGAGGCTGAGTCGACCTAGGGGATGGCCCAGGATCGGTTCAGATCATCGTCACTGTTTGTTGGCCGTGAGCGGGATTCGAACTCTGGCCACCCAGGTTCGTAGTGCAGCGCGCTAACCGCTCCACCACCGCTCTCCCCCACACCACCTGTTGGAGGTACGGTGGTCGCCCATCCTCGCACGATCCAGGCTCAACCCTTGCTTAGCTCAGGCAGTACTTTCTACCCACCTATACGTTGCTCGTCAATCGATGCGGCAGGCCGCTTTAGCCAGGTGTAACAGGTAAACGCCGTGACAGGTGCAACGAGGACATCGCGTGACCCGGGGCTCTTCGTTGCAAGGCCCACGGGTCACTGGTGGCGGCCGGCGGCCTTTAGGGCGACCCCTGACATGCGCCCCGCCCCCGACCATACACAAGTGGTGAAAACGCAACCCCATCGTCGTCATCATCGTCGTCATCATTGTCGTCATCGTCGTCGTCATCATCGTCGTCATTGTGCTGCCGTCAGAAACCCCCAATGGTTTCAGATGGTGGGGCGGCCCCCCTGAAAATGAGTTTTCAACTCTGGCGTAAGTCGTCATAGCTGTACCTGACAATGAGCAGCAACATAGCGATGATGATGTGGTGGTGGTGGTGTTAAAGACCGTGGTGCTGCATCGACGTGTTACGCCGGCTATAACGTGACAACTCGCCCGCTATAACGCAACAACTCGCCCGCTATAACGCGACAACTCGCCCGCTATAACGCGACAACTCGCCGGCTATAACGCGACAACTCGCCCGCTATAACGCGACCCACCGGCTATAACGCGACAACTCGCCGGCTATAACGCGACAACTCGCCCGCTATAACGCGACAACTCGCCGGCTATAACGCGACAACTCGCCCGCTATAACGCGACCCACCGGCTATAACGCGACAACTCGCCGGCTATAACGCGACAACTCGCCCGCTATAACGCGACAACTCGCCCGCTATAACGCGACAACTTGCCGGCTATAACGCGACAACTTGCCGGCTATAACGCGTGCAAGTGCAAGCGTGGGCCAGGGTGGAACGTGAGCGGAACAGTGCGTGTACAAAGAAGCACGGTCAGGGCGAGAGACAAGAGCGAGGAGCACGTGGATTATAGAGCGCACGCAAGTTCGAGACGACATCCTCCACGTTGATCTCCATCATCCAGCAGTGGATAGGCCACGGTGATGACTGCGTCACGCAGGTCCATTACGGCTGCACAGGGCAGCGCGTCGGTAATGAAACGCACGTGCATATTACGGAGTGATGAACAGTGTTGTCAAGAGCGGGGGGGGGGGGGGGGCTGTGTGTGCTGCATGATTCCCGAGGCAATCGGGGGGCGCTATTGGAGCAGATGTTGCGTGTTTGTGCGAGCGGGATTCCACGCGGGCGGAGTCTGTTTAGCATTAAAGATCTCCGTCGTCTGGAATGAGATAGCGTTCTTAGCCAGCCCACGCTCATTCCTTAAGACGAGCCGCTCTGTCGTACCGACCCCCCCACCCACCCACCAATCAATCTCCTTGCCTCTCTCTCCTCCTCCCCTCCCTTAGCTCATTTACACACGTAACGAAGACAAAGTCACCCCCCCCCGTGTAGCCTCTAACAGGCCGTTGTTGGGGCAAGTGCTGTGCGCGAGCAGAAACTATGAAGTGCGGCACACGAGAGGGTGGGTGGCCAGCACCACGCCCGGCCGCCTTTGTCTCCCAAGCGGCGATGTTTTACCTCGTTAGCATGAGACTACACTTTAGTACGCCTGTATATTTGGAGTTTGCGTCTCTCTCTGTCCTTGTGGTCGCATCGATTTTTCTCTGCGTCCTCTGGGTTTTTGCTCATTTAGAATCAACATCACGCGCTTGGAGTATTTGGCTGCTACACATTTCCAGATGGTGATAAGCCACTTCGTTGAGCTATCATTTGTCAACATTTGTGGCCAGGTCGCTTCTGAAGAAGAGCTGTAAAGCTCAGTGGGCCTTGCACAATAGTTTTATTTAGAACTGATGCAGTTGCAGCTCGCTCGACTTACGAAAAAAAAATGCTGCGACGTTTTACAAGGTGGCTGGTTAGACGAGAGGGAAATGTCTCGACATCATAAAAACTTTTTTTTTCATCACGAGGTCCTTAAATGGATGTGCGGCAAAGCCGGCGTGGGTGCGGCGTGGGTCCAGCGTGGGTCCGGCGTGGGGCCGGCGTGGAGCCGAAGTGGGGCCGAAGTGGGGCCGGCACACAACAGCCTGGCGGGGGGGGGGGGGGGCGCAATTGGGGGGACGACGACGACGTTGGGACGACGCTGCCGTCGATCATGAAATCTACCGCCGTGAATTAAATTCCTGCGGGGTGATTGTTGTGTCGGTCGCAAAGCCACGCAATCGATTTTCTAGAATCTTACAGCAGAACCCCCTAACCCCCGCCCCCACTCCCAAACTCCCATTCAGGGTCAGATGTAGAGTCATTTGTGCACACCGTGGGGTCAACATAAGAAGATGACTCACGCGCAACCACAATTTAGTCATCTAGACAAGCCGCGGCGGTGGCGATTGTAGTTGGCACAGTAGGGGGCACAGCTGATGCGTCTACTAGTCATCTCAGTCAGCCCACCCACGGCACCTGCTGGGTCTGTCCCGCGACCTCGTGCACCTAGCCTGGTATAGTATGGGGGTACAGCTGGTGCATCTACCAGTCATCTCAGTCAGCCCACCCAGGGCACCTGGGGTCTGTGCCGTGACCTCCTGTGTCAGCGAGCCTTCGGCACTTCACGTGACGGCCTCAAAGTGCACCTGGCCTGGCACAGCCGCCGTGGTGACATCACCGTCACTTAGCGGCGAATGGCGGCTGTTGGTATCGGTGGTGGCCGCCTGTAAGCCCGCAGTGTGGAGGCAGTAGCGAGGGTTGTTGGATGACCACACACACAGATGTTGTTGCCTAATCTCCATCTGTCCCTTCTGTATGGGGGCACGCGTGCGTTTTATGCGGGCGCTCTGATTTACTCCCACACGTATGATCATAATAATAATAAGCAATCGCTATTTGGCTGAAAGCATCTTAATGTACAGAGGACCCTCAGAGCTCGGGAAATTCTTGAGAGCACCGGGGCACCGGCTGGCTACTGCCTTCCAACGATCCTCTTTCCTCAGCGATGCCGTTTGCATGGACGACGACGACACTGAACACGACGCTCAAACGCCGAATGAAAACAACTTGAGATTAAAATGCGGATATCGGCGCATCTTGGTAGCGCGTGCGAATAACTCAGACGGCACGAAACGCGACGAGTCCCGGGCGCAGTATGGCTTCTCAGTTGGGTGAGGGATTCTCGCCCGCGCTCCGCACGTCGCCTGCACGGCGCGTAGTTTCTTGTTTCGGACAGTGTGCTGCTGTCCGCTAGCGAGTGGCGATCTCAAGTTCCCGCTTGTTTTGTCTCCTCCAGATGCCCCGGGAGGCGCGGTTTAAGTGATGCACGACGACGGTGACGTGAGTCCTGGGACGCTGCGAGTCACGGGTCACGCCGAGGGAGATGCCGCTTTGACGCAAAGGGTCAGCGCGCTGGGCTCGCAATCCGGCTGGGTCACCGGTTCGATTCCCCTTCTCTCGGCGCGGCAGCTTGAATCACCCCACCCCCCACCTCGGTCCAGCCAGTGAGGGATGATGAGCTGAGTCAACCCCACCCGCAACCAGGGTGTCAACTTGCAACCTTCTGATTGCGAGCCGCGTGCTCTCCCTTTGACAGGCGTCAAAGGGGCAACGTGAGAATACCGACCACCGCGTGTGTTTTCTCTCCTGCCGTGCCAGGGAGTCCCGAGGCAGGGCTGCCTCGCCATCCAAGCGAGAGAGAGAGAGAGGAGGGCGAGGAGGTGGCCGTGCTGTGGAGTTCCCCGACCACTGCCTCTCACCATGACCTTGGCCTAGCTCTCCGCTGCGTAGACATCGAACATGGAGCGCAGCAACGACGTCGACCTGTCGCAGCTCCACATCTCCCCCAAGTGGAACTCCCCGCACGGCCGCCACCGCTCGCAGTCTCTGCTCTCCTCCTCCTCCTCCGCCAGCGCCTGTGGCGGCAGCGTCGTCAGCAGCAGCAGCGGCAGCGAGTCGCCCACGTCGCCCGGCACCCCCGTGGAGACGGACCCCACCGACGCGGCGCCCCTCGCCCGGTCCCCCTCGCGCGCGACCCCCCGGCCGCCGGCCTCGGGCTGCTCCCCGCTCGCCGGTCCCGCGCCGGCACTCAACGGCGCCGCGCCGAGGTGCCGCGGCGCCTCCGCCGCGCGGCCGACCTCCGGCCTGCGCGGCGGCCCTCTCGAGTTCGACGTCGACTCGGTGGTGCTCAGCACCGACAGCGCCGCGGCGCGGAAGCTGGGCACCGCGCAGGTCATCCCCAAGGGGCTGGCGGCCGGGAAGCCCGCCGGGGCCAACGCGTTCGCGCGCCGGGGCCTGAGCCACCACCGGAGCCTGCAGGCGGTCGACCGGCGCGAGCGCCGGACGCGCAGCCTCCTCTTCGCGGAAGCGGCGCCCTCGGCGTCGGACGATGAGGGCGCCGCCTCGGCGGGAGACGCCGAGGCGGCGCCGGCGGAGGAGCCGGGCTCGCGCCGCCCGGACGACGGCGCCGGTGGCGGTGCCGTCGGCGACGTCGGGGGCCTCCAGCGGGGCCTTCGCTCCACGTCGTACCGCCGCGCCGTCTCGTCAGCCTCTGCGGGCGGGAAGGCCTCGGCCGAGGGCAAGGTCGGGTGGCTCAAGCCGCTGGGAGAGGACGCGGCCCACTCGCCCGCCAAGGTGAGGCCGCGTGCGTTCGTGCGTGCGTGCGTGTGTGAGTGTGTGCGTGTGTGCGTGCGTGTGTGCGTGCGTGTGTGCGTGTGTGTGTGAGTGTGTGCGTGTGTGCGTGCGTGCGTGTGTGCGTGTGTGTGTGAGTGTGTGCATGTGTGCGTGCGTGCGTGGTCGACGCACTCAACTCGTGTTGACGACTCGATCAACCAGACTCGGTGTCGTCTCATCCCATCCTCCGTGTTCAATCTCAACCACACTGCAAGTCACAACACGACAACAACAACCGCTCTTCACCACTAAGTGGCAGTGAGGTCACCACGGCGCCTGTGCCAGGCTAGGTGCACTTTGAGGCCACGTGAAGTGTCGAAGGCCCGCTGGCCGGAGGCCACCAGACAGACCCAGGTGCCACAGGTCGACTGAGATCACTGGCAGATGCACCACCTGTGCCCCCTACTGTGCAAACTTGCTGTATTTTAGCCACCCGGCTCTCTGATCGTTGTTGTGAGCATCGCTCCTCTGCCGTCTGTTGTTGCTGGAGGGCGACTGCCTCCAACTGCCCAGTAGCGTCCTGCACGAGCCTCCTCCATGGAGGCCGTTCTTGATACCGCTGGTACCAGTCATCAGCAAGTCCACTCAGCTTCACATCTTTCTGTACCACATTAGTCCATCTCTTCTCTAGCCCGTGCCTTACCTGTTTAGCCCCATCTATCCGGCCAAACTAAGGCTGTTTGGGCATGCGGTGGCTGGACACGCGGTCACAACAACACACTCACTCGCTCCGCCGCTCACCGCACTGCAGGTCACAGCAACACACTCACTCTCCAACTCACTCACCCGCAACACTGCAGGTGACAGCACTTTCTGGATAACCTCCCGTCGTCTCTTTTCCCCGAAGCTCTTCACGACACCAACCTTTCTCAATTCAGGAAACTGTGTTCGACTCCCCATCTAGTACGGTGACTAGCGCCGATTGCCGCAGTCGAATTTCGCTCAACAGAATTTGCGGCTCCCTTAACTGCTCGTGCTCTCCAGCTTGTATTGCAAAATAAAAATAAAAATTAGCAATTCTACAGAAGCAGGCAATGCCAGCCGAGCATTAACAGCCGCAGGTTACAGATTCACAAACCCGACAATATCAATCGCGACCAGAAAATCAGGTCCACTCGCACCGCCCCCGCTGTGCCTCGCGATCACCGCGTCTCCCCGCTGCACCCACGGCATGCTGGGACGGTGAACACCGATTAAGGCCTCCAAGCTCCGGCTGGGGCGGCACGGCGTTCCAGACGGCCGTTTGCCAAAGCCCAGTGGGGAAACTCGCCCCGCGTGCCCAACAGCCCCGTGCCGTCGGGGTCCGGGCCACGATGTCCGACGTTTCGCATGTCGCGTGCTGGGGGCTTCTTCGGGAACTGACCCGAGCGCCGGGCGAGGACTCGGAGAGAGCTCTCCGCCGTGCGTGAGAGGGGACGAGAGGGTACGGGAGGGCGAGGGTACGAGAGGGTACGGGGACTTACCGTCGTGCTCTATCTCCCGGCGTGGCAGTTGACACGAGGGTGCCAGTTTCTCAAATCTCCCCCTGCCCCACACCTCTGTCATAGCCAGCGGCAGAGAGGACTACACCGCAGCCTACGCTCGGCAGGCTCGCGTGTCGTGGTGGGGTCAACTGTGGGAATCTCCCACACGTCCCGACACGCCTAGCCACCGTGGAAGCGTCGGGACAAAATACCCTCCGCAGAGGGGTTCTCTCTGGGGACCGCCGTTCTGCAGCGGGTGGTCACGAGCAGGCAATTGGAGTGCTGCGCCTTTACCTTCCTGCCCAGCGGCTTGACTCCCCTTGTCCCACTGACAGCGCCTGAGCATTGTTGTCGGGTGTCGCAATCGCAGGGAACGGTGTTAAGGGGTGGGTAGGGGGTGGGTAGGGGGTGGGTAGGAGGTGGGTAGGTGGTGGGTAGGTGGTGGGTAGGGGGTGGGTAGGGGGTGGGTAGGTGATGGGTAGGGGGTGGGTAGGGGATGGGTAGGGGGTGGGTAGGGGATGGGTAGGTGATGGGTAGGGGGTGGGTAGGGGGTGGGTAGGGGGTGGGTAGGGGATGGGTAGGGGATGGGTAGGGGGTGGGTAGGGGGTGGGTAGGTGATGGGTAGGGGGTGGGTAGGGGGTGGGTAGGAGGTGGGTAGGGGATGGGTAGGTGATGGGTAGGGGGTGGGTAGGGGGTGGGTAGGTGATGGGTAGGGGGTGGGTAGGGGATGGGTAGGGGATGGGTAGGGGATGGGTAGGGGATGGGTAGGTGATGGGTAGGGGGTGGGTAGGGGGTGGGTAGGGGATGGGTAGGGGATGGGTAGGTGATGGGTAGGGGGTGGGTAGGGGATGGGTAGGGGGTGGGTAGGGGATGGGTAGGTGATGGGTAGGGGGTGGGTAGGGGGTGGGTAGGGGATGGGTAGGGGATGGGTAGAGGTTGTTTGGTGGGTGGGTAGAGGGTGGGTAGGGGGTGGGTAGGGTGTGAGTAGGGGGTGGGTAGGGGGTGGGTAGGGGGTGGGTAGAGGGTGGGTAGGGGGTGGGTAGGGGGTGGGTAGAGGGTAGGGAGGGGGTGGGTAGGGGGTGGGTAGAGGGTGGGTAGGGGGTGGGTAGGGGGTGGGTAGGGGGTGGGTAGGGGGTAGGTAGAGGGTGGGTAGGGGGTGGGTAGGGGGTCGGTAGGGGGTGAGTTGAGGGTGGGTAGGGGGTGGGTAGGGGGTGGGTAGGGGGTGGGTAGGGGTGGGTAGGGGGTGGGTAGGGGGTGGGTAGGGGGTGGTTAGGGGTGGTTAGGGGTGGTTAGGGGGTGGGTAGGGGGTGGGTAGGGGGTGGGTAGGGGGTGGTTAAGGTAAAGGAGCCACAACACAAACCAAGCCGCCGCGTGCCCCATCACGTGATGCCACATGAGTGGGAACAAACCCACGCGTCATCGTCGCCGCCGCCATCATCATCATCATCGTCGTCATCATCATCGTCGTCATCGTCGTCGTCAACATGATCCACACCCCACCCGTCAGTCGATCGCAAAAATAAAACTCATGGTTACGTACGAACACAAACGAGTGATTTGCGCGGTCTTCATCCAGCAGTGGATTGATCATGGCTGCTAACACTGATAGTGTTATTCATGAAGGATCTTTTGTTTTTTCCCCATCCACCCCCCACCGACTGCCAGAATACTGCAGGCCACGTGCCAGCCGCAGAGTATCTATTTAGACCTGAGGAATCCGATGAGCCATCAAGCTCTTTGCCACGGGTGTCCAGTGCAAGCCGGGCGCTCGAGATTGGCACAGAATAACAGCAGCGGCCAAAGTGAAGTTGAAACGTTCACGAGTCCATGAAGCTCGGAGCCACACACGCAGACGTTGCCACCCACTTCCGCCGAGGTTCATTACCCAGAGCCACGCGCCTGTCATTGCAAAGAGAAGCAAACGCCTCAGGGCCCCCGTAGCTCAAGGGGCACTGGGAATCACAGTAAATATGCAAACTTCGTGCCAAGTTGTCAACGTTTTTTTGCTCGGGCTGTTCAACGCGACCGAATTTGCTGACGAACCAAACCGATGTCGCCAGTGTGACGTGGCCAATCGATTTGATTGGCTGTCGTCGTCATCATAAAGTACTGCCCGTAATTTTGGGGCTATTTTTGTCGTTAGATCGCTTCAATGTAAACGTGTCGCTGAAACCCGCCGACACCCGAAACAGCCAATTGGTAAGGTTTGTCACGTGAACAAAACGGGCCGATTCGCTACTAGTTCAGCACACCGATTGTGTGTTGGACAGTAAACCCACAACAACATTTCCAATTCGAGTACCGTGTGACGTGAGCATTGCAGTAAATCTAAAATATTAAATGGAAAAAAATGTTTCGCTCATGATTATTAATGACGTGGGTGCTCCACGTGGAGTGACGTCACCCGCTGATGATTATTGATGACAGCGTTACGGAGTTGGCGTGACATCAGGGTTCTGGCTTTTCACGTGTGAAGAATATTATATAATAATAATATATCGGTCGCGAAAGCCTACGTGTTAGATAAAACACTACGCGACCATCTCATCCAAACAACAACAACAACATTGTAAGTTTTGATTTAAAGCTTTCGTGACTGCAGTAATTCATATTCTTAGCTCTTTCGGTAAAGTCACGTTGAAGGGAAACAATAAAATAATAAAATATATATAAAACAATAAAAATTCTCACGACGTTTCGACCATAACACAAACGGTCGTCATCAGGTGTGTCGATGACGACCGTTTGTGTTATGGTCGAAACGTCGTGAGAATTTTTATTGTTTTATATATATTTTATTATTGTATTCTTTCCCTTCAATGTAACATTGTAAGTGTTGCGGATTTGCTCTCCAACACACAACTGGTGTGCTGTACTAGCATGGAATTGGCATGTTCTGTTAATGGGACAAAACTTACTAATTGACTGTGTCGGGTGGTGGGGGGGTATAACGACACGTTTATATATTTATGCAATCTAACCCCCCAAAACCCTCTATTATGGATGATATTGGTCGCGAAAGCCGTCTACCCCGTCTTAAACTGACTAAATCCCCCAAGACGAATCGTGAACATTTGGTCGGGGGGAAAAGCCGGCGGCGTTAAATGTCGAAAAATTAATGTTCGCGATTTACTTTTGCAGGCAAGCGACTCGAAGAAACTTTCGCTGAAGAAGTCACACACGTTTGAGGAGTGTAAGTAGCCGCGGGCCGGTGGCCCAGCCGGGGCGGACGGTGCTGGTGCGCGGACGGGAGAATCACGGCTGCCTATCCATCTTGACGCTCGGAACACCCCGATTGGCAGCGCACACACCGACTGTCGCACGTGACGAACGCACCCTTAGCCCCGCCCCTTGGCCCTGCTTGGCCCCCGCTCCACGTTCGGACGTCTTCCCGCGAAGCCGGCGTTTCGCGGTTCGGTGTTCCGGCTCTGGCTCTGGCTCTGGCTCATTATCCGGTGGGAAGATCCCAGCCGTGCCACGCCGGCCTCGTGCCTGCTCGGCCCGTAGCGCCAGCCGGTAAAGAGTCTCCGACCCTCTACCTCCCCCGACTCCCCCCCCCCCCCCCGCCCCCTCCCGCCACACCTCCCGCCCGGCGCAGGCGCGGACACGGTGCTGTACCAGCAGTTCCGCGAGCGAGGGCTCGACGGTGGGGCCGCGGACGAGGACGGCGGCCCCCCGGGGTCCCCCGAGCAGGGGGGGGGCCCTTCGCCGACGGCGGTGGGCTCGTCCTGCCCGCTGCCGGCCGCCGCCGTTGACTCGGACCCCAGCATCGTGCCCACGTACAGACCCCAGCGGGTGATGTGGAGTCAGCTGCCCGAGGTCGGGGACTCGGGCGTCCTGGAGAGGCTCTCCTCGGAGGAAAGGAAGAGGCAGGAGGTGAACCAGCAGGCCCGAGGCTCGATGTATTTCGATGCACGCACACACACACACACAGACGCACACACAAAGACAAAGATCCCCCGTATAGCCTTAACAGACTGTAGGGGCAAGTGCTGTTAGCGAGCACCACCTATGAAGGCCGGAACGGTACACGAGGGGGTGGGTGGCCAGCACCATTGCCCGACCGTCTTTGTTTCCCCAGTGGCGATGTTTACACACTGCACCAGGTACTCATTTGAGGCTGAGTCGAGCTAGGGGAGGCCCGGGACCGGTTCAGATAATCGTCACTGGTGTTGGTCGTGAGCGGGGAATCGATCTCGGGTTGCCCGGGTTTCGTAGCGCAGCGAAGCGCTAACCGCTGCGCTGCGCCACCGCTCTCTCCACACGCACGCGCACACACACGTAGTGCCAGGGTGGAGCGTTACGGTGACGGTCGGGATTAGTTGAATTGGTGCGGGGTTTGTTTCGGGTTGAACCGGTCCTGGGCCTCCTCTTCGGTAGACTCAGCTTTCAAAGGAGCAGCTGGTGTGGTGTGTAGTAAACATCGGCGGCACGGGAGAGACAAAGGCGGCCGGGCGTGAGCCACTCCACGCTCTTGTGTGCCGCGACGGCCTTCATTAGTGCTACTCCCTTGCAGTATTTAAAAAAGACTATATTAAAAAAATGGTTTTATTTTACCAGGTAAGGCCCACTGAGCTATATAGCTAAAAAGCTATTTTACAGAAGCGACCTGGCCACAAATGGTAGGTCAACGAGATGGCTTATCGCGTAGAAACATATAACAGTAGCCAAATACTCTGAACGCATTTTGATTCTAAATGTGGAGGGAAAATTCAGAGGGTTACCCAAAGAAAAATCCACGCGGACATGGGGAGATACCCACACTCCAAATATACAGCAGGCGTCGGGGTCGGGATCGAACCGACGGCCTCCTGCATACGAGGCGGTGTGTTGAGGCTACACGGGGGATGTTTGTCTCTGTGTGCATGCGTGGGCACGTGGAAGGCGATGTTCGAGATCATCACGTCAGAGCACTCGTACCTGCACAGCCTGGAAGTGCTAATCCGCGTGTTCCTGGAGTCGGCCGACCTCCGCATCACTATGACCAAGACGGAGCAGCACCACCTCTTCTCTAACATCACCGACGTGCGCGACGCCAGCCGCCGGTACGCTACCGCCACCACCGCCACCACCGCAACCACCGCCACCACCGCAACCACCACAACCGCCACCTCCAAGTCACGCTGGACGCGCCGCGAGGCCGCGTTCTGTGCAGAACCGCATCTCCGGCGAGCGATCGCCGGCTCCCTCGCACCAAGCTACGCACGCACGCATCAACCCACGCACCCACGCACGCACCCACCCACGCACGCACGTACTCACCCACGCACCCACCTGCGCACGCACCTACCCACGCACGCACCCACTCACCCACATACGCACGCATCAACCCATGCAAGCACCCACCCTCGCACACACCCACGCACCCACGCACTCACCCACGCATGCACGCACCCACGCATCCACCCACCCACGCATGCATGTACTCACCCACGCACGCATGTACTCACCCACGCACCCACCCACCCACGCACGCACCCACTCACCCACACACGCACGCATCAACCCATGCAAGCACCCACCCACCCACGCACCCACCCACGCACCCACCCACGCACGCACCCACCCACGCACGCACCCACTCACCCACGCATCAACCCATGCAAGCACTCACCCACGCATCCATGGATGCACCCACCCACGCACGCACCCACCCATGCACGCACCCACCCACGCACGTACTCACCCACCCACGCACGCACCCACTCACCCACGCACGCACGTACTCACCCACGCACGCACTCACCCACCCACGCACGCACCCACTCACCCACGCACACACGTACTCACCCACGCACTCACCCACCCATGCACCCACTCACCCACCCACCCACCCATGCAGGCTCCCAGCCACGCACGCACCCCATCATGTACTCTTGCTTCCCTGGCGCGCAATCCAGGAGGGCAAAGTTCCCCGTGGGGGCCTCGTGTGGACACGGCCACCTGCCAGCGGTGACAAAGGCCCCTTTGTCGCGCACCGGCGCCGTTTCGTAAAACCGGCGCCGTTGATATTGAAAGAGTGAAGGAAAGTTGCCCACATATTTATTTTATTTTCAACGCAGCTGCTTGAGCGCAGGCCCCAAAAGCCCAACGTGTCGGGCAGCAGTCAACCAAAAGAACTGGGCAAGGTTATTGCAGTAAGGGCTTGGGGGGAGAGAGACGACGGCGATGATGATGATGGTGGTGATGATGGTGGCAGGAGGGAATTACAAAGTGAAGCGGTGCCAGGATGGAAGCGGGAAGGGAAGTGATTTGACCTTCAGTGCAGTGAGTGGGTGAGTGAGAGGGTGAGTGAGAGGGTGGGTGAGTGAGTTGTTGTGACCTGCGGTCTGGTGATGGATGTGGGGAGGAGAGAGCAGCGGCTGGATTAAGGAGAGGGGGGGTTGAGAAGTGAAGCTCCTGTAGGGTGGAGCGACGTTCTTGCGGAGATGACGACTCCCATGGTGTCACGCAGCCCCTCCGCTAGTGTGATGGTGCCGGAGTTTGGGATTGGCCACGCCACTCCAGCTGGGGACGACGCGCCCTGGCCTCGAGTCGAGACGCGGGTGGGCGGGCAGGCCGGGGGGCGGTGCGTGACTCGTAAGCGTGTCACGTGGCCCCGTCAGGTTCTTGAGCATGTCACGTGGCCCCGTGAGGTTCTTGAGCATGTCACGTGGCCCCGTCAGGTTCTTGAGCGTGTCACGTGGCCCCGTCAGGTTCTTGAGCATGTCACGTTGCCCCGTGAGGTTCTTGAGCGTGTCACGTGGCCCCGTCAGGTTCTTGAGCGTGTCACGTGGCCCCGTGAGGTTCTTGAGCATGTCACGTGGCCCCGTCAGGTTCTTGAGCGTGTCACGTGGCCCCGTGAGGTTCTTGAGCATGTCACGTGGCCCCGTCAGGTTCTTGAGCATGTCACGTGGCCCCGTGAGGTTCTTGAGCATGTCACGTGGCCCCGTCAGGTTCTTGAGCGTGTCACGTGGCCCCGTCAGGTTCTTGAGCATGTCACGTTGCCCCGTGAGGTTCTTGAGCGTGTCACGTGGCCCCGTCAGGTTCTTGAGCGTGTCACGTGGCCCCGTGAGGTTCTTGAGCATGTCACGTGGCCCCGTCAGGTTCTTGAGCGTGTCACGTGGCCCCGTGAGGTTCTTGAGCATGTCACGTGGCCCCATCAGGTTCTTGAGCGTGTCACGTGGCCCCGTCAGGTTCTTGAGCATGTCACGTTGCCCCGTGAGGTTCTTGAGCGTGTCACGTGGCCCCGTCAGGTTCTTGAGCGTGTCACGTGGCCCTGTCAGGTTCTTGAGCATGTCACGTGGCCTCGTCAGGTTCTTGAGCATGTCACGTGGCCCTGTCAGGTTCTTGAGCATGTCACGTGGCCCTGTCAGGTTCTTGAGCATGTCACGTGGCCTCGTCAGGTTCTTGAGCATGTCACGTGGCCCTGTCAGGTTCTTGAGCATGTCACGTGGCCTCGTCAGGTTCTTGAGCGTGTCACGTGGCCCTGTCAGGTTCTTGAGCGTGTCACGTGGCCCTGTCAGGTTCTTAAGCATGTCACGTGGCCCCGTCAGGTTCTTGAGCATGTCACGTGGCCCCGTCAGGTTCTTGAGCATGTCACGTGGCCCCGTCAGATTCTTAAGCATGTCACGTGGCCCCGTGAGGTTCTTGAGCGTGTCACGTGGCCCCGTGAGGTTCTTAAGCATGTCACGTGGCCCCGTGAGGTTCTTGAGCATGTCACGTGGCCCCGTCAGGTTCTTGAGCATGTCACGTGGCCCCGTCAGGTTCTTGAGCATGTCACGTGGCCCCGTGAGGTTCTTGAGCGTGTCACGTGGCCCCGTCAGGTTCTTGAGCGTGTCACGTGGCCCTGTCAGGTTCTTGAGCATGTCACGTGGCCTCATCAGGTTCTTGAGCGTGTCACGTGGCCCTGTCAGGTTCTTGAGCATGTCACGTGGCCTCGTCAGGTTATTGAGCGTGTCACGTGGCCCTGTCAGGTTCTTGAGCGTGTCACGTGGCCCTGTCAGGTTCTTAAGCATGTCACGTGGCCCCGTCAGGTTCTTGAGCATGTCACGTGGCCCCGTCAGGTTCTTGAGCATGTCACGTGGCCCCGTCAGATTCTTAAGCATGTCACGTGGCCCCGTGATGTTCTTGAGCGTGTCACGTGGCCCCGTCAGGTTCTTGAGCGTGTCACGTGGCCCGTCAGGTTCTTGAGCATGTCACGTGGCCCTGTTAGGTTCTTGAGCATGTCACGTGGCCCCGTGAGGTTCTTAAGCATGTCACGTAGCCCCGTGAGGTTCTTGAGCATGTCACGTGGCCCCGTGAGGTTCTTGAGCATGTCACGTGGCCCCGTCAGGTTCTTGAGCGTGTCACGTGGCCCCCTCAGGTTCTTGAGCATGTCACGTGGCCCCGTGAGGTTCTTGAGCGTGTCACGTGGCCCCGTCAGGTTCTTGAGCATGTCACGTGGCCCTGTCAGGTTCTTGAGCATGTCACGTGGCCTCGTCAGGTTCTTGAGCATGTCACGTGGCCCTGTCAGGTTCTTGAGCATGTCACGTGGCCCTGTCAGGTTCTTGAGCATGTCACGTGGCCTCGTCAGGTTCTTGAGCGTGTCACGTGGCCTCGTCAGGTTCTTGAGCGTGTCACGTGGCCCTGTCAGGTTCTTGAGCGTGTCACGTGGCCCTGTCAGGTTCTTAAGCATGTCACGTGGCCCCGTGAGGTTCTTGAGCATGTCACGTGGCCCCGTCAGATTCTTAAGCATGTCACGTGGCCCCGTGAGGTTCTTGAGCGTGTCACGTGGCCCCGTCAGGTTCTTGAGCGTGTCACGTGGCTCTGTCAGGTTCTTGAGCATGTCACGTGGCCCTGTCAGGTTCTTGAGCATGTCGCGTGGCCCTGTCAGGTTCTTGAGCGTGTCACGTGGCCCCGTCAGGTTTTTGAGCGTGTCGCGTGGCCCTGTCAGGTTCTTAAGTGTGTCACGTGGCCCCGTCAGGTTCTTGAGCATGTCACGTGGCCCCGTCAGGTTCTTAAGTGTGTCACGTGGCCCCGTCAGGTTCTTGAGCATGTCACGTGGCCCCGTCAGGTTCTTAAGTGTGTCACGTGGCCCCGTCAGGTTCTTGAGCATGTCACGTGGCCCTGTCAGGTTCTTGAGCGTGTCACGTGGCCCCGTCAGGTTTTTGAGCGTGTCGCGTGGCCCTGTCAGGTTCTTAAGTGTGTCACGTGGCCCCGTCAGGTTCTTGAGCATGTCACGTGGCCCCGTCAGGTTCTTAAGTGTGTCACGTGGCCCCGTCAGGTTCTTGAGCATGTCGCGTGGCCCTGTCAGGTTCTTGAGCGTGTCACGTGGCCCCGTCAGGTTTTTGAGCGTGTCGCGTGGCCCTGTCAGGTTCTTAAGTGTGTCACGTGGCCCCGTCAGGTTCTTGAGCGTGTCACGTGGCTCTGTCAGGTTCTTGAGCATGTCACGTGGCCCTGTCAGGTTCTTGAGCATGTCGCGTGGCCCTGTCAGGTTCTTGAGCGTGTCACGTGGCCCCGTCAGGTTTTTGAGCGTGTCGCGTGGCCCTGTCAGGTTCTTAAGTGTGTCACGTGGCCCCGTCAGGTTCTTGAGCATGTCACGTGGCCCCGTCAGGTTCTTAAGTGTGTCACGTGGCCCCGTCAGGTTCTTGAGCATGTCACGTGGCCCCGTCAGGTTCTTAAGTGTGTCACGTGGCCCCGTCAGGTTCTTGAGCATGTCACGTGGCCCTGTCAGGTTCTTGAGCGTGTCGCGTGGCCCGGTCAGGTTCTTCACGGACCTGGAGGCGAGGCACCAGGAGAACGTGCTCGTCCACAGCGTGAGTGACATCGTCGAGCGGCACGCCAAGAGGTTCGACGCCTACGTCAAGTACTGCACCAACGAGGTGTACCAGCAGCGCACGCTCGCCAGCCTGCTGTGAGTGCGGTTGCCCGCAAATCACGCTCACACACGCAGACAAAGATCCCCCGCGTAGCCTCGAGCAGACTGTCGGGGAAAGTGCTCGGAGCGAGCAACTGTTATGGTCTGGGACGGCACGCCTACCAGGGAGTGTCGTGGCCAGAACCGTGCCCGACCGCCTTTGTCTTCCCAGTGCTGATGTTTGCACACTCCACACTGGGAGATCGTTTAAGGCTGAGTAGACCCAAAGGGAAGACCCAGGACCGGTTCAGATATTCCTTACTGATGTTGGCCGTGAGCGGGGAATCGGGATTTTTCAGGTGAAATATCACACTTTCATGTTTGAAAACAAGTTTTGCTGGCTGACGGGAGGGAGGGACTGATGGACGTGTGGGCTGCTCGTTTGAATTACAAGCCGTACAGTGGTGACGCTCACATGCCTCACAGCAAGGAGGTCCTGGGTTCGATTCCCTACTTGGGTGCCTTTCGGCGTGGAGTTTGTGGATTCCCTCCCCAGTTCTGGGTTTCCACCGGGGCTTTTCCGGTTTCATCCCATAGCTAACCCCCCCCCCCCCCCCCCACAAAACACACACAATGTGCTTGGTATCGGCCAAGCATTGCTTCACAAAGGTACCGGCAAATCACTCGATGGGGATCACGCACAGCAGAAGCAGCAGCAGCATCATCGCCCCCCCTCGTGCGAAACCTGAGCAAGAACCCTCCCGATAGACGAGTCTTGAGACTCGGCGAGACTTCCCTGGGTAACAAGCATGGCAATAACAACAACCATGGTAATTTTGATTTAAAGCTTTCGTGACTGCAGGGATTCATATTCTTGGTTCTTTCGGTAAAGTCACGTAGAAGGGAAACAATAAAATAATAAAAATATAAAACAATAAAATTCTCACGACGTTTCGACTGCAACACAAGCAATCATCATCAGGTGTGAAAACCACAGCAAGATGATGATTGCTTTTCTTGCAGTCGAAACGTCTTGAGAATTTTATTGTTTATATTTTTATTATTTTATTGTTTCTATTCTACGTGACTTTACCGAAAGAACCAAGAATATGAAACCATGGTAACAGCAACAACAAGCACGGTAACAACAACAAATAGGCCACGGGACATCTGTGAAAAAAGAGCTTCATAGCTCATCGGATTGCTGCAGTATAAATACATATTCTGATTCTGCAACGGGTGTCGCACTGCACACAGGGCCAAGAACACGACCTTCAAGGAGACCCTGGGCAGGCTGGAGGCCCAGCCGGACTGCGGAGGCCTCAGCATGACCTCCTTCCTCATCCTGCCCATGCAGCGCGTCACGAGGCTGCCTCTCATCATGGACGTGAGTTCTCCCTCGACCCGGCTCGGTGCACGGTGAACTCGAGGACGGAGCGGCGGAGAAATTCGGCTCGTTTGCATCGAGCGGCTGATCCCCTCCCCCCGCGTCACCGGAATGGCAAAGGGGATCGCGGCAAGAGGAATTATGAAAGTGGCTCAACATGGAGACGAGAGCTAAGAGAAAGCGAACGCACCTGTCCCGGTTTTTTCCCCGCGTCATCTCCGAGCTGTTCCCCCCCCCCCCCCCTGCGTCATCTCCGAGCTGTTCCCCCCCCCCCCCCCCCGCGTCATCTCCGAGCTGTTCCCCTGCGTCATCTCCGCTGGCCCTCCGTCCGTGCCGGGTCACGTTTTTTTTTACTCTTCCCACCGCTCACGACGACGGCCAGGCTATCACCGCGGCCCGCTTCCGTGGCCGTTGCTGACGAGCGTTGAACTGCCCCACTAAACCGTGGCGTGCGGGAGGCTGCCGGTCCCGCGGGGCGTTTCGTCCGAGCAGTGGCAGCCTCCGTTTGCTGCCGAGGACGTTCATCCAGAGCAGCCCCGCGGAGTCATCGAGTTTACATTTATTTGGGGGGCGGCGGCGGGGGGGGGCACGACGCAGTCTATGTTTGAAAGACTTTCAATAAACTAAGCGGTTCGTAAATTAATTTTGGGTGAGATCACGGAATGATCCGGCCAATTTTGATATTTTTTTGCAGTGAAGCCCTCCACCACCCGACTCAGCCACGAAAAACAAATTAAACAAATCAAGCGTACGACCAACCCGAAAACCGATCACGAATCCTAATGATCATTTGCAGCGAAGGCCCCCACTACGTGTTGAAGCGAACGTCAAACAAACCTCAAGGGCTAACCAGGGCGGGCAGCGGTGCCACCTGCTTGCTGTCGCCTGTCGTCCATGCTGGTGCGGGTCTCGCTGCCCGTGTCTCAGAGGGATAGCGCCGGCTTGGGAAGGCCTTAACGCAGCAGTGGATAGATCGTGGCTGCTATCCACGTACGCCGCGTGTTGCCCTTCAGGGCCACGGTGTTGCTGACGAACGCGTGGACATATCTGTGCTGTGTACAGACAAGAACACACTTAAAACGCCACAAGAATGTGGAAGGGGGGGCAAGAGGGGGCTCGGCCCCCTCCAGCCACACCCCCACCCCCCCTCCCCGACCCCCCCCTCCCCGCCAGCCACCCAAGGTGTAAAGTTTATGATATTTACAACTTAGCAATGCAGTAAACGTTCTTGGAAATACAGTACGATGTGGTATCTGGCGAGCGTGGTGGGGAGTGCTGTGGTGAGCGTGGTGGTGAGCGTGGTGGGGAGTGCTGTGGTGAGCGTGGTGGTGAGCGTGGTGGGGAGTACTGTCTTGAGCGTGGTGGTGAGCGTGGTGGTGAGCGTGGCGGTGAGCGTGGTGGGGAGTGCTGTGGTGAGCGTGGTGGTGAGCGTGCGACTCTCGCCGTAAAGTGACCGTCGTGAGCCCTTCCGTTTCGATTTCACAAAAATTCCAAGGTGCATGAACAGACTCACCCCTGCCATATAAGTGTAGAATTTCCACCACCGGTGAAGGGCTGGATCACCCTGCGTAATGTCCCTCGTCGGGTTCCGAAAAAAGTGGCTTTTGAAAAACGTATTTCACGTCGTGTCGAAATTGGGCCTTCGTCTTGACTTTGGATTAAAAACATTTTCAGTGGACAATAATAATAATAATAAACTCTATTTGATGAAGCGCCTTTCGTATCGAAATATCTGAAAGCGCTGTACGCAAAAACATTTTTTTAACTCCACTCACAGGTATAGACAATAATAATAACAATTACACAGTGATCCAATCAGACAACGGGAAAAAGGCAATGCATGGACATTGGTTTTCAAATCTTAAGCAAAGGAATGGCTTCGCCCCCACGATCTCGCTCCGTCATCCGTCAATCAAACAAATGACTGCAGATGCCGGTGTATGGTAGCCAAGAGCACTTGAAGCGAACGCTGTCGCAAGAGCTTACACGTTTGGCGCAACGCTCCTTCGCTGACCGTGCGTGACGAATTAATAAAAAATGGCCGGACAAACGGAGGAGTTTTAACGTGCGGCGTTAACCCGAAAGCCACGGCCTCCGCCGTGGGCCGGTGAGCGAGCCGCCTCACCCGGCACCGCGAGGATCACCGCCCCCGCCCCTCATCCCTTTGCAGACGATTTGCCAGAAGACCAACAAGTTCTCCATCGAGAGCGAGCGGGTCAAGCGGGCACTCAAGGCCGTGAGCAAGGTCAGTCCGGGGCCCGCGCTCCCACCCTGAACCGATGGTGAGATGTTAACTGCCTCGCCTGGTATGCAGGAGGTCGTGGATTCGATCCCGACCCCGACGCCTGCTGCATATCTGGAGTTGTGTGTCTCTCTCCTCGTGGTCACGTGGATTTTTCTCCGGGTCCTCCGGTTTTCCCCTCCACGTTTAGAATCAACATCACTACGCGTTTAGAGTATTTGGCTGCTATAAATGTCCACACGATAAGCCACTTCGTTGAGCTGTCATTTGTGGCGAGGTCGCTTCTGAACAAGAGCTCTACAGCTCAGTGGGCCTTACGTGGTAAAATAAAAAAAAATAGTTTAGTTTATAGTTTTTAGTTTAGTAACTCGGGACGAACCTCTTTACTGGGCCAATCTTAGACTGGACCTGGGTAATTCCTAGGCCGGGAGATCGAGGGTTCGCAGTGGCCATGGAAACCGGCCGTTGGTGAGCACACGCGGTGCAGTGAATAACTCCGCTGTTACATTCCAGAGCATTTACAAAGTGTGGGATTTTTTTGCACACGACACCCGTACCTTGCTTGTGTTTGTGTGAAGGCAAGTGTCGTGGCTAGCGCACTGTGCTTCGAACCCAGCAAACCGAGTTCGATTCCTGCTCACGGCTAACATCAATGACGATTATCTTCAACCGGCCCTGGGCCTCCCCGAGGTCCTGTCAGTCTCAAATGAGTACCCGGCACGATGTGTGAACATCATTCCGGTGGGGAGGATACTGAGATTTATACTTCACCCGACACAGCCTAAGGGACCCCCTGATGGCAGCTGCCCCAGCGATGAACTCTGTCGTGTAATTTAGTAACTATAACCATGGGTTCACCGTGCATATCGCAACTACCGGCTGTGCTCAGAAAAAAAATATATCTAGTTTTATTAATCGTAACTTTGATTCGGCCTTACAACTCGTATACAGATCCCATTTACAACGCTCACCTGAACACAACCGAGGTGAATAGCGACGGAGTGATGCGACCCGGCGGGCATAGGCAGAGCTCTCCCTAGGGGCATGGCGAACGAATCAGGGCGACTGCCCCGGACCCCGGGGTTTGGGGTGGGGGCTGCGCTTCAACGACACGGTGTCAGATGATGTCAGCTACTTCCTTTCTATATTGAAGGCGTCAGGTGGCGGTGGCCCAGAGGGTGGAGTTTGGGAGTTTGCATGGCCCTTAGCATTGGTGGCGGTCAAGCGGTGAGGTGGAAGGGATTGACTGTAACTAGACTTTGATAACACCTGCGGCCCCTCCCTCCCCCGTCCAACTTAATTTGTGTATACTGCACCCGACACGTAGCAAATGCCTCGGTTCGCAGTTTGCTGCTTTTTGCGTTCAGGTTGTTGTTCTTCCCCCGCACCTCTGATTAGCACGGTTGGTTACGTGCAGTGCGAGAGAAAACACGCATCAACATATACATTACATACAATCTGTCCCTGGTGATGCCGGCTGAAAGAGGAGAGGCAAGGCAGCAGCCACCACTCAGCATGGGTCCAGAGTGCCATTGGTATCAGGTGGAAGGTAAACTCATTCAGCTCTTTACAGCCACTGTCCTTGCGGATTTGAATGGCTATTCACAATCGCTAGGGCAAACTAAGACAAAGGTCCCCTGTATAGCCTGAACAGACTGTTGGGGCAAGTGCGGTGAGCGAGCAGCACTTATGAAGGCTGGCACGGCACACGAGGGGGTTGGGTGGTCAGCGCCACGCCCGGCCGCCTTTGTCTCCCCAGTGGCGATGTTTACACACGGCACCGGATAATAATTTGAGGCTGAGTCGACCCTGGGGGAGGCCTAAGATCGGTTCAGATAATCGTCACCGGTGGTGGCCGTGAGCGGGAAGAGAACTCGGGCCGCCGGGTTCGTAGCGCAGTGTAGCGCTAACTGCTACACTACGTGTACACACACACAGGTACACACACACACACAGGTACACACACACACACAGGTACACACACAGGTACACACACAGGTACACACACAGGTACACACACAGGTACACACACAGGTACACACACAGGTACACACACAAAAAAGACAAAGATCCCCCATATAGCCTTAACAGACTGTAGGGGCAAGTGCTGTTAGCGAGCACCTATGAAGGCCGGATCGGTACACGAGGGGGTGGGTGGCCAGCACCACGCCCGACCGCCTTTGTCTCCCCAGTGGCGATGTTTACACACCGCACCAGGTACTCATTTGAGGCTGAGTCAACCTAGGGGAGGCCCGGGACCGGTTCAGATAATCGTCACTGGTGTTGGCCATGAGCGGGAATCGAACCCGAGTCGCCAAGTTCATAGCGCAGCACGCTAACCGCTACACTACCGCGCCCCACACACACACAGGTACACACACACAGGTACATGATTCACAACAACAGGATATTTGTCCAGTGGGTTAGACAAAGTAAACACGTTCTCAACATTCTCGATTCCTCTTTCACTGTTTCGTATCCCAAAGCCAAACCACCCACTCACTCACCTACTAATTTGCTCACTCACCTACTCACTCATCCACTCACCTACTCACTCACCTACTGACTGCCCTACTCACTCACCCACTCACCTACTCAGTCACCCACTAACCTGCTCACTCACCCACTCACCTACTCACTCACTCACCCACCCACTCACCTACTCACCTACAAACTCACCCACTCACCTACTCACTCACCCACTCACCTGCTCACTCACCCACCCACTAACCTACTCACTCACCTGCTCACTCACCCACTCACCTTCTCACTCAACCACTCACCTGCTCAACTCACCTACCCACTCACCTACTCACTTACCCACTCACTTACTCACTCACCCACTCACCTACTCACTCACCCACTCATTCACTCACCTACTCACTTACTCACCCACTCACCCACCCACTCACCCACTTACCTGCTCACACTCCCACCCACTCACCCGCTCACCACACTGCAGGTGAGTCTGCCGCTGCTTCGCCCCTCATACCACTCCGCTTTAGAATTCCCAACAACAACCTTGCTCGATTCAAGGTCCCCATTGACGCTTCTCCATGACACCTATTCAGCGGTGCTCTTCTTGCTCGCCGCTTGGTGTTTTTGGGGCCTTTGCACAGCAACCGTGAGTTAAAATAAAATAAACACATTTGTCTGGCATCCGATGTTTACTGTGGTAATGCGCTTTACGATAATACTATTAATACGGTAATAATAAAACTTACATTTGTATTGTGCTGCTAATGTAACGAAGTGGCTTGGGGGCACGTTTTTTTTTTGTTTAGCCCTAGGGGACCCTCCTGTGGCAGCTGCCCCTGTGCGGCACGGGACAATTGCAGCACCACTGCTGGACCGCTGGCCTGCTCGTTGGCCAGTGGCGGGGCAGCTGAGTAATATTTTTATTATTTAAATTTGACCAGGTAAGGCTCACTGAGCTCCGTAGCTCTTTTTTTGAAGCTACCTGGCTATCACAAAAGATAGCTCAACGAAGCGGCTTATCATCATCACGTGGACATTTATAGCAGCCAAATACTGGATATGCGTGATGTTGATTCTAAATGTGGAGGGAAAAACCAGAAGACCCGGAGAAAAATCCACGCGACCGGAAAGAGACACCGCAAAATCCAAATATACAGCAGCAGGCGTCAGGGTCGGGATGGAATCCACGACCTCCTAGTGACGTGGTTAACATCTCACCCCCCCCCTCCCCCCACTGTGCGTGTTGCAGCTCGTCAAGGAGTGTAACGACGGTGCCAGGAAGATGGAGAGGACAGAGGAGATGTTTACTCTCCAGAAGCAGCTCGAGTTCCGAATCAAGGTAAGGGCCCCCAGCCGTGACCCCCGCCGTGACCCCCGCCGTGACCCCCGCAGTGACCCCTGCCGTGACCCCCACCGTGACCACCGCCGTGACCCCTGCCGTGACCCCGGGCCCGCACCCAAAAACAAAAGACCTCCCCCCACCGTTGATTCCTCCCACTTTCTACGCCGGCGTAGAAAGTGGCCGGAGCGCTCCAATTAAAAATTATTCTCTCCGCCTCCTGCCCCCCCCCTCCCCGTGAATTTAAATCGCAATTTTGAGTTGGGTAACTTCGCACGTGAAGGGCTCACAGGTGACGTCATCACATCTATCCCCTCTATTTAAGGAATGAAACAGGAGGATTTGTCCGCAAATCTGGTTGTCGCCTGATGATGCCGGTTGTAACTACTGGCGAAATGTCACGGTACTCAGATTGTAAATGTTGTGGATTTTCTCTCCACCACACCGGTGTGCTGTACTAGTAACGCATTGGCACGTTCTGTTTATGCGACAAACCTTACGAATTGGTGGTGTCGGGTTTAACGACACATTTATATTTACCCGATCTAACCCGAAAAAAACCTCTTATTATGGATGATATTGGTCACGAAAGCCTGCCACGTGTTAAAACTGTTTGGTAACTCTTTACGGCACGTACACACCGCAACGTTTACGATTCCGCAATCTCTAAACAGGATGGCACGTGACGGCCCGCTGCTATACCCCGCAAAGTAATTGTGCCATTTAATTTAAAATCACCGGAGGGTTTAAAAAAAAAAGAAATCTGTCAAAGCTCGTTTCCGTTTTTGTTGTGAAATGCCAAGGGACGCTTGCCTCCAGCGGCGCCACTGGACTTGCAGTGCAGCGTCCGCCGGTTCGATGCCATCCCCTGGTGTGGCAGTTGCATGACGTCGCCTCCTGTCCGCCCAGTGCCATGTAAATATTTCCCGTGTGGCAGCAGTGACGCGGTGTTCAGGAGCTCGATGCCAATGTCGAGGTCTGCTGCCGCTGGCCACGCACGAGAGGGCTCCAGCAGAGAGAGACAGGGAGAGAGAGAGACAGGGAGAGAGAGAGACAGGGAGATAGAGAGACAGGGAGATAGAGAGACAGGGAGAGAGAGAGAGAGACAGGGAGAGAGAGAGACAGGGAGAGAGAGAGAGGGAGAGAGAGACAGGGAGAGAGAGGGAGAGAGAGACAGGGAGAGAGAGACAGGGAGAGAGAGACAGGGAGAGAGAGACAGGGAGAGAGAGACAGGGAGAGAGAGAGACAGGGAGATAGAGAGACAGGGAGAGAGACAGGGAGAGAGAGGGAGAGACAGGGAGAGAGAGAGATATGGAGGAGTTCTCGCAGCGCTTCCACTCGTCCACTGAAATTAGCTCCATCACGGCGGTCTGCCACCTCGTCCCCACTCGCACCCCTGCGGCTCGCGGCGATCGTTCTCCATCGACGAAGGAGATGCGTGACGAGGTCGCGCTGTTCATGGTTTTTCCCGACGCGGTCGATGGTCACACCACCCGGTGTCTTGTGTGTGCGTGGAACTTCTTTCGCACCGTACGCAGCCAACCGTGTTAAAGCGGAGTTCTCTGAGGAGGTTGAGGAGTGCTAAAGCCAGGAGGTGCGATGCTTGGCGATGATGATTAAAGATGATGGTGACGATGCTGATTGACAGGTGGCGTTGTCAGCGAGGTGTCGCCCTCGCTCCTGGAGTTGACAAACCAGCCGGACGGCTCGTCGCTCGCTCATGGGCGCGTCCCGGGTATTGATGTCAGCACGACGGACAGCAGCACCGGGCTAGGGTATCGCTGACTCGTGCGTTACGCAAGCCGGCGGAGGGCTCCAGTGTTGGGGAGGGAGGGAGGGAGGAGGGTTACTGTTAATGGTAATTATCGTGACACCACAGCAGCTGCTGCTGGTGTTGTTTTTGTGGAGGCAGCAGCAGCTGCTGCTGCTGTTGTTGTTGTTAGCCGGGGCAGTGGTGCACGGCTGTGACCCAGCGCTGTTGCGGATGCAGCGGCGAGGGGTGTTGGATCGCTGCACAGATTGTGTGAAGCTGCCTCTTCCCGAGGAGTTGCAGCGTACCCCCTTGGTTCGCCAGGAGGAGGCGGTACGGCAGGCGGACTCATCGCCATCTGTGTGGGGGTTAGCTCCGAGGGGACGGCGAATCGAGGCGACCGCCCCGGGCCCCGCGATTTGGAGGGGGGGGGGGGCGGCGGCCGCGCTTCCACGTCAGCGCGTCACATGTCGGACTTGCGGCTTCGTTTGAAGGCACTGGGGGCGGGGCCATACACGGGGGCGGGGCCATACACGGGGGCGGGGCCATACACGGGGGCGCGCACCTGCGGTGCGGAGGTGACGCGATGCCTCATCCAAAACAGCAGCTCGCAAATCCCCGCAGGCGATTAGTGCGACAATGATGCAACGAACGCACAATGGCACCCTGCCCCCCTGCCCCCCAGGGCCGGATTTACACTCGAGCCTGCCCCTGGGGTCCACCAGAGCAGAAGACCCCAAAGCGACACACCCCCACCTCCCCACCCTCCCTCCTTCCCTGCAAGGGATTTAAATCTTGTTCTGCTTCTTCTCCGTACGTACGGCTGATGCCGAGTGACAGCTACAATCTGAAGGGACTAACGGCCGACGTTTTGAACGTTTGTCACGAATGGCTCGCCGTGTTACAGCGCGAGGAGGAATTGTCATCATTACGATTCACGATTATAATTATTTTTACATGAACAAAAAAAATCCATTCCCCCCCCCCCCCGCCCCCCCACAGCCATTCCCGCTGGTGTCGGCGTCACGCTGGCTGGTGAAGCGCGGAGAGCTCACGTCGCTCGGAGGGGATGGGGGACTGTTCACGCGTCGCAAGCAAAGCCTCACGCTGCTGCTCTTCAACGACGTCCTCATCGTGACGCGCAAGCGCGGGTCGGTCCTAGCGCAGCACACAAAGCTCCCCCGCGTAGCCTTCGCCGCGCCGCTGGGGCAAGTGCCGTCGGCGAGCGACGCCCGGCCGGCGCGGCATGGCGGCGTGTGGCCAGCGCCACGACCCGGCCGCTTTTATCTCCCCGGTGCCGATGTTGTACGCGTCGCACCACGGACTCGCTCTGAAGGCCGAGTCGACCTAGGGGGTGGTGGGGTAGGACTCGTGCCAATATATTCGCTGCCGTTGTCGTTCGCGAGCGGGAATCGAACTCGTATCGCCGGGTTCGTAGCGCGGTGCGCCAACCGCTGCGCCGCCGCTCCCCGCGCCGTCGGGCACCACGTGGGGCGTCAGCCAGGGGTCGGGCACCACCCAACCATACCCACGGCAGCGTAGAGAACCTCTGACCTGTGACCCGATGATTGATGGACGATGACGACGATGGTGACGATGACGACGACGCCGCTGCTGGTGGCGGCGATGGACGTTGCCGCTAGCGCTTAGGGTGGTGGTGCCGGTGCCAGAGGCAGCGGTGACGGACGAGGGTGATGACTACGATGGCGACGCTGCTGCTTGTCATGCCGAGGCAACACGATGGCGGCGCTGCGCTCGGTCGCGGTCCTGGTGGTCGTGGAGGCGGTGGAGGTGGCGGACGAGGGTCGATGCCGCCGCCGCCGCCGCTCACGCGCAGCCTGACCCCCCGTCCCCTCACCCCTGACCCCCTGTCGGCAGAGAAGAGGCATACCTGGTCACCGACTACGGCCTGGGCCAGCACCTCATGGTGGACAGCGACGACGACGACCAGCCGGCCGCTCAGCAGCAGCAGCAGCCGCAGGCCTCCGCGCCGGGGGCCGCGGGGGAGAGCGGCACAGCGGGGGGCGCCGTCGGCCCCTCCCCTTCCGGGGGGGCCCCCGCCGCCGCCACCGCCTCGAACCCCCGCAGCAGCCTGATGCTGCTGCGGCAGGGATCGCTCGCCAACTTCTTCCAGGTGGTGATCGCGAGGAACCACGCGGGCGAGCGCGTGGAGCTCAACCTCCTGGCCGACTCGCCGTGAGTGACGCCGCCGCACGCTCCCCCAGGGTCAAGGGTCAAATCGACTGTTCCACAACCAGTGGGGGGCGGGAGGGGTGAGAAGGGGGGGGGGGGGCGGGCCGCAAGAGGCTGCGGCGCAGCGACCGTGCGGGAGGAATTGCGGGACACCACCATGCCCCCCACCACTTATAAAATTGGTGGGGGGCATGGGAGGGAGGTGGGTGGAGGTGTACGGGAGTGGGGTATGGGGATCAGTGGTATTATTTGTGGGGGGCCTCCAGACCATAAAGGCTGAGAAGCGCCGCCTCCATTCCGGTCTGGCCAGAACGGGCCGGAGATCGCCGTTTCGGGAATGATTGTGGTACCCCTGCACGTCCATCTCACCTTTCTCACCGGTGCGCCGAGAGTTGTGGTTGTGTTGTCCGAGATTCGTGCGTAAGGTCGTGAACAGGCTTCTCTTTCTGCTGAATAACGATATTGGTCTAGAGAGCCGACGATCGGCCGATGGGGGCTGAGACTCTTTCAGTTTATTTGTGGAGACGCAGAACGGAGGTCTGCGTACACAGCACGTGCCGACCGGCAGGGCGGCTCAGCGGCGGAGTCAGCGGCTCGCGATCGGAAGGTCGCGAGTTCAACTCCTGGTTGGGCATGGGGTTGACTCAACCCATCATCATCATCATCCCTCTGGGGGGGTCGATAACGGGAGTACCACTCCGTGTGGAAGTCAACAGCGGGTCCTCTATGGATAAACTCGCCCCCCCGGCATAGGAACGTGGAATTTCCACCGCTGGCTCAGGAGATACCGTTAGCCTCGGTGGCTCTTTTTGAGTGGCTGGAAATCGCTTTGGCTTGAGAGCGGCGCGCGTGGAAAACCACAAAACCGTTGCTCGTCTCTCCTCCGGGCCCGTAACCTCAGCCTCACCCTTGCCTCCCCTCCCCCTTCTCTGCCTCTGGAATGCCGGGCATGCCGAGGGGAAAAGCCACTCATCATCCCACAACTCGTCGCCCGAGATGGGATTTAAATGTTTTTATATATATAAACTCTCCCTTGGGATGGCATGGGCAAGCGGCGTGCGCAGCTGCAGGGGGAAGGAAAAAAGGGCAAAAGATGTAATTCCTGTTTAGATTTCAGTTCCCTCGTTGACAAGGGCTGTGTGCCGGGTTCCTCATCGCCCGCCGCTGTGCGGACTGCCCGATAACACGAGCAGCGCATTTTCTGAGAAAGTCGACAGTGGTTACGTTATGGATGGACTCGCTCCGGCCATAGGAATGTGGAAGTTTGACCCCTGGCTCTGCAGTACTGTAGATGGTTGGCGGATAATGTGCGGTGGGGCGTTTTCTGAGCAAGTCAACAGCGGTTACGTTATGGATGGACTCGCTCCGGCCATAGGAATGTGGAATTTCAAACAGCTGGCTCTGCAGGACTGAAGATGGGAGATGAGCGCTGGTGGTTCATCTGAGCAGCAAGAAGTGAACGTTGACGTTGTTTCAAGGCGTTAATTTTAGTGTTGTTTCCAAAAAAAACGAAGCGGTAACAGCGGGTACAAGTACAGTGCTTGCACTCCTGCCGCCCACGCTTGGGAATTGAAGACGTTCTGCAGAAACCCCGCGACACCGGCGCAAGTTTCCAGGCCCCGGTGGCGTGGGAGGCATTTCCACTGGCACCCGGGTCGCCGGGTTGTTGCGACGAGTTCATGAACTGGCCGGTGACGAGGAAGTCCGGCGTGAGTGAGCGTATGAACTGCTTGCAAGCGTAAAGGCCCCGTTTCCATGTCGGCCCGGTTTCCGTGGCGGCCCGGTTTTCGTGTCGGCCCGGTTTCTGTGAAGGCCCGGTTTTCGTGAAGGCCCGGTTTTCGTGAAGGCCCGGTTTTCGTGTCGGCCCGGTTTTCGTGAAGGCCCGGTTTTCGTGAATGTCCGGTCTCCGTGGCGACCCGGTCTCGCTTACATTCCCTGATTCTGTGCTTTGCTGTTTTTTGTTGTTCGAAACACATGAACAAATATTTTGACCGTGAATGTGTCAAAATAAAAAAATATATATTAACCATAGACACACGGCGTTTGCTTTTGCAATCACCTGCCAGGAGCGAGCGGGCGCGCTGGGTCTCGGCGCTGCGACGATGGAAGAGAGAGAACGAGGACAGCGAACACTCCGAGTCGGCCGAGCGCAAAGGTGACTCACGCACGCGTGGCCGCGATGCCACCACCGGTGGATGTATTTTATGTGCGTATACGCGCGTCATTTTCAACAACAAACAACAACAGGTTGCCGAGGGCAGACCCAGAGGCCCGAAATGTTAAGCACTCGGCAATAAACGGCACTTGTAAAAGACAAGAGTCTAACACTTGTCTTGAATCGAGCAAGGATATCATTGTTAAGAGCCTGGGGAATAAAAGATGACGATGGCGATGATGACGATCACGATGGGGGAGGGGATTCCACAGTGGATCGGTGCAATCCGCACTTGAAATCCGCAGGTGTCCGGTTCGATTCCATCTCCCGGAGGCATGGCAGGAGAATCAGTGGCGCAAGTTTATTGAATTCCATCTCCCCCCCCCGCCCCCACACCTGTCCCCCCCCCAGCAGTGTGATTTGGATCATCACGGTTGATCGGCAGGTCACGTGTGGTAGGGTAAAGCGTGGGTACTCCGATCTCCTCCACGAGTGTGTGTGTGGAATATATTGACGTACGTGGTCGAATCAAGGAGTGGTTCTTTGGGTCGGCCTCCCTTCGATGGCCGAACGCCCTTCTGCCCGCAGTGGCGAGACCGAGCGATCACCGGGCCGAGCCGTTAAATCCAGCCGAGGCCCTCGTTACCCACAAGTTACTGAATTGGATTATATAAAAAAAACCCCACGTGCAACGCCGCCACCCTCCTAGCAGCCCAGAGCTGCGCGCGAAACATTCGTGGAGGCCCGTGAACTTCTTTCGCACCGTACGTAGCCAATCGTGCTAAACGGTGGTGCAACAACGGCGCCAATGCCAGAGCGTGCCGAGGAGTTAGCGGCCGTGCCACGATGGCCGTTCCGTGTCCGCGTCTCCTCCCGCCAGACCTCACGCAGGTGGAGATGATACGCACCTACATGGCCGTGCAGCCGGACGAGCTGTCGCTGCAGATGGCCGACGTCGTCCTCGTCTACAAGAAGACGGCCGACGGTGCGTAGGCCCGCCTCGCCCGCCGCACCGCCCGCGGTGGGGCCGCACACGTCCACCGCGAGGCTCGAGCGGCCACGGTGGGGCCGCACACGTCCACCGCGAGGCTCGAGCGGCCACGGTGGCTGGCCGCCGAGTTCGTGGCCCTGCAAGCCGGGCCCACGGGCCGGCCATGACCTGATGCTTCATTTCACACGGCCCGTGGCCGTCCACACACTTACGCCTTCCGCTTCGTGTCGGCCCGCAACACAATATTTATCTCTTCGCTGCGAGCATCTTGGCCGCCGTTAATCGAGCACCAGAGGGGTTGGGGAATGCTTGGAAACTGGCAACAACGCCGCTTCTAATTCAGTGCCCTCAGCGACTCCTGTCACTGCGAGGGTCTTTTGCATTCATAAAAAAACTAAAATGTAACATTGGGGAAGTGTCTTCATCCCCCATCTCCGCCACCACCATCCACTCCGTCCACCCAGCACTACAAAATGCGTTCGTAGATTGGCATGTGGTGTGTGGTGGGGTAAAGTCTGGGTACTCCCACCTCTGCCAAGACATCTGGTCGGCCCGGAATAATCGCTCTCAAGTGCTGCCTCCAGTGGAGGCCCTTCTGCCATCAGGGGCTCAAGTTGGCAGTTGCAGGGCTGAGCCTTCACCGTGCTTGTGTTTTACCTCGAGGCCGAAGGTCCGCTTTCTTCGCTTGGCCAACGCTTTAACCGGGCAACGACGACTGCAATCTGCCACGCTGCGCGTTCAGCCGGAAAAAAAGCGCGCATAGTTGTTACAACTAAAGTCGGCTCGTAACACGCTAACGGGGGAGAGAGGGGGGGGTGGGTGTTAACACGCATAGCGTGGGGGAATTGTCTGCGCAGAGTCGAAGTGAGTGAAGGTCGGTGTGATGATGCAAAGCCAACAAGCCATCACGTTCCGATCGGGGGAGACTTTGAACCTATGCACAGTGCACTTGAGTTTGGTGTAGTCGTAAACAGGTACTTCACACCCACACGTCCATCACGATTCATTCACAACATTCATTTACCCAGGAAAGCCTCGCCGAGTCTCAAGTCCATCTAAAAGGAGGGTGCTGCTAAACTAATTCACAACTCTAGATAGTTTGTAAGTATATATTTCTCTTTGTTTATAACCTTTTTAATGGTTTGTTCAGTTTGAGTTTTTATATGATGATGGCCCTTTGAGTGGCAGATTTGTGCCAGAAAGTGGCACAAATAAAATCGGCTCGATTGGCAAATGTAGCGAGTCCCTCGTGGATTTTAAGTTTTCGTGGCTGCAGGGGTCCATACTCTTTGGTTCTTTCGGTAAAGTAACGTAGGTAGACAATAAAATAAATAAAATATTTTATTTTATACCTACGTGACTTTACCGGAAGAACCAAAGAGTATGAGTCCCTCGTGCTCACAAAGTGACATCACTGGATGTCACGTGAAAGTAACATCACAAGCAATGTCTCTTTCTGTGGCGCATTCTACTCCAATTCAATCTGAAACACCAACAAAAATTAAAATCTTCCCAAATTTAGCATCTTGGACATTAGCCTTTTTTTAAGCCAGCAAAATATCACGAGTTTGTGGCCTGTAATGTGCGTGTGCATGTGTGCGACTCATGCAAATTAGTAACCGGTGCGATGTGTAAACATCACCTCTCGGGGAAACAAAGGCGGCCGGGTGTAGTGCTGTCCACGCCACCCCCTCGTGTACCATACCGGCTTTCAAAGGCTACACTGGGGACGGTGGGGGATCTATGTGTGCTTGTGTGTGCGCTGCAGGCTGGTACGAAGGCGAGCGTTTGCGTGACGGAGAGAGGGGATGGTTCCCGGCGGCCTGCGCTCAGGAGATCACGTGCCACGCGGCCATCCAGAGGAACATGCAGCGCATGGGCCGCCTGCTGGGACTGGAGACCAACGTCTAAAAGCCATTGCCAGCCACCGCAAGCGCAGCCGCGCACACAACCAAACGCAGTCACGCAACCACACGCAACCGCGCACGCACGGGCACACATTGGCCAACGCACTCTCCGGATTATAGCAAGACGCTCCCAGAGAGTAAGAGACATCGACTTCCGCACAAAGCGAGGGAAACCGATACAGAATTGAGATTGTGCAGAGCGGTGTTCTTCATCGCAAGGCCCCGTGGGCCACTGGCGGGCCCCTGGTGGCATTTAGTGCAGCTTCCGACAATACACGAATGGTGAAAACACAACCCCATCATCACCATCATCGTCATCGTGGTGCTGCGGTCACAAACCCCCCAATGGTTTCAAATGGTGTGGCGGCCCTCACACCGACGATGTCTTATTGGCAAAAGTGCCCTCCCCCCCCCCATGAATATCACTGCTGGATAGCAACAACACCACCCAGCGACTGAAAAAACACTCGGCAGGAACCTTCTGACAGCGAGTCCCAAGACTCGGTAAGGCTTTCCCGGTTAAACGAACAGAATAGTCATAGCATAGGCAAGAGGATGAAACACACGCCTACCGGATGATAAGATGCATCATCCCCACGCTTTAAGAATACAGGGGGCGGGTGGTGGGAGGGGGAAATAGTTGCGTCTTATGATCCGGAAAATGCCGTAACCGACTTAATCAACAATCGCAAACCAAAAATGCAGATGCCCACACGCCAAGCAACATGCACTCGAGCGGACTGCTACAAGGCGGCGTGAACGGAAAGAAAAAAAAGCCAAAGTGGACGTGACGATACAGGGTGCTTCAAAAAAATGTTAACACTTACATGGGACTGCCGTTTTCAATCGTAAAACAATGGATAATACACTGTGTCGTGATAACAAATGTCATGTTAATAGCTTCAAAAAGTCAGTCCCCACTTGTTCGCCATCGTTGTCAACGCACGCCTGGAATCTTCTCCAGGCGGTCTCCAGAGCCCTGAGGGCATACACGTCACATGGTATTGTTGCAAATTCTCAGCAGTGTTAAAAACATGTTTCTGAAGCACCCCGTTCATAACCTATGAAATAAAAATCACAAATAGCACTTGAAAGGAGGGTATAGCGGGAGACATTTGATTTTGGTGGCCAATCGGGCACCACCTCCACGAAGGCGCCTTCGACCTCCGGGGACGGAGAGGGCCCGGAGGTGCGGCAGGGTCATTGGGTCACGGCGGATATCGTGACGGTCGGATGAATACGCGACGTTGCCCAAAACCTACTGCCTGCGCTCTGGAACCTACCCAGCGTGCCGTTCGTTGCTGCCGTGTTCAACTCTCCTCCCTCTATCTCTCTCGTTTGCTTGCAACGCGATGCAATTTACAGGGAAACGGCCTTTTGCAACAAGAAAAGCGTCCTTTTAAAATGTCCGCGATGGGAGTCCTCGGGGAAGCGTTTCGAGTTCGGATTTTTAGACAAATCAATTGTACATTCATATCATGTATATTTTAATAAATGTCACATGTATACCCACTCTGCGACATTATTTTGCTACAGCAAAAGCCTAAAACGTCAAGCAGCCAGTAGCAAAAGGCAGAATTAAAGAGTCTTGACACGCTTGTCGAAAAACGAGCGAGGTTGTTGCGAGGGCTTGAGGGAACAGACGAGGGTATTCCAAAGCGGAGCAGTGCGAGGAAAGCAGGGAGATAATTGTAGTGACCTGCAGTGTGATGGGTGAGTGGGTGGGTCAGTTGTTGTGACCTGCAGTCTGATGGGTGAGTGGATGGGTGAGTGGGTGGGTCCGTTGTTGTGACCTGCATTGTGGTGAGTGGATGAGCGAGTGCATAAACGGGCGAGTCTTTTTGTGGCCTGCAGTGTGGTGGTGGTGGCTGCACAGTACGGATGAGACGGAGCAGTCGGTGTTTGGTCGGGAGAGTCCTCAATAAGGGTGGAGGAATCAATAAGTGAAGTTCACGGGAACAGTAACCACGGTAGTAGCAATAGCAGGGTGATGAGGAGGCGCCTGACCGCCAGTCAAGTGTACTCCTGAATTAAGATTACAGTTTGCAAATAACGGGTGTTCATTTTATTACGTCGGTACGCCAAAATAAACTGCCACGCCAGTTATGCATTAAACACTGGTCTGAAAGCAAGTTTATTTATAACAATATACAAAGCTTTGCTTTGATTTTACAATTCAAAGCTTGTAAAGCAACGGTTTATAGGGATTCTGCACGACTGCAGAGGTGTTAACGTGGGCTCAGTGCCAGTGCCTTATCAACCTGTTTCAGCCTTATTCTTCCTCTCACCGATACTCCCTCTTTCTCACTGCGTGACTGGGCCAAGCCGGGCCAATGGCGAGCCAGCCCGGCGTGGACCAGGAGGTGGCACCAGGTTGGTTTTCCCACCGCAGAAGCCGCACCGCCGCCGCCGCCGCCGCCGCCGTCAAACGCGACGAACGAGCGTGTGGAGGACGCGGCGACGCGTTCCAGCTGCGCGCTCTGAACGTGCCCCATTAGCTCCACCCCGGGGCCCTGCTCGGCACCCGAGCCACATTCAGATGCGAGGCCGGCAGCACGTCACGGTTTGGTTTCCGGCTCGGCACGGATAAACCGGCCTGTGGAGAAAAAAGACGGCCCGTCGTACCGTGATGGCACCGAGCTGGGGCGGCTCGGATGTGGCAAGTGGAAAAATGGGGTGAACGATAGAACTGCGCCAGGTGACGCTTACAGTGTACTTCAACAGAGCAGTGTGCGTTATCCATTTTTGGTTACGATCCACTGTAGAATGCTCTTGCCCACTCGTAAGACTTCTTGTAACTTTTACGAACGCCCATTATCGTAATGCTCAGTTAATGTTTTTTTTATCGCATACCAAACTTACAACATCGCTACGATATCCGGAACACATTTAGTACTCTGGCCCCTGGCTTGGGGCTGTCAGGTTTCATGCAGAGTTTACGCTCGGGGCAGGGTGGGGCTGTGTTAATTTGCTGGGTTGTGTGGTGGCGTTGCTGTCCGACGGTGTGAGGGTGCGTGGGTGGGACAGCGAGATGAGCGAGGCGAGTGGGGTAAGCGGGGTGAGCGGGCGGGCGGGCGGGCTAGTAGGCGCGATGGGACGGGCCCCCGAACCCTCCTCCACTCCCGCCCCCACCCCCACCACCGCCCTCCTCCGTGGTGATGAGGTCGATGATGGCCTTGAGGAGCGCCGATTCGGACGATTCGCGTTGCCACTCCACGGGGCTCGGCCGCGTGATCTTCTGCTCCAGCAGCGAGTCCAGCTGTTTTCTCAAGTCCTGTTGTGGGGGGTTATTACCGCGAACCATTCATTATAATCGTAGTAATAATTAAAAAAAACCTGATTCGTTATTGAGTTTCAGGCAGGGCCATGGAAGGATCTGGCCAATTCTTTTATGAGACATTCCACCATGCCACACCCCTCTCCCCACCACCCCGACATAGCCAAACAAATTAAATTACCACGCATACAAGCATTAAGCACACCAATTATTATTACTGTTCTTTCAGCTCACCGGTAAGATGACGAACGACGTTTTACAACAGAAATTTGGCCATATCGCTTCGTGGCCTAACCCAAAAATCAAACGTGAATCGTCATATTAGCTTCGAGAAACCTACGTGTTGAGTTACAATAATAAACTCAAAGTCCTATGTCAGTCCACTGCTGGTAGAAGGCCTCCCGACGGCCAAGTCGGTCACCGAGAGGTGGTGTGACCACACTTCACCACGCTGCGGGTCGGCGCAGCGGTGGGGGACCAGGTCCGGACGATCGCCGCTGCGTCACGGGCTAAGGTTCGGCTAAACCGCGGCGGGCCCGGGGAAGCAAGCCGTGGACCCGCCGAGACAGAAGGGGGCGGCAGCGACGGAAGAGGCGTCCTCTCACCTTGACGAGGGAGGCGATGCGGAAGGGCGAGCGGAACACGATCCACTCGTCCACCGAGATGGTGTCTTGGTCCTGGTCGCGCTGCATGCTGATCTCTCCGCCGAAGAAGAGCAGCGAGTAGGGCGACACCTCCGTGCAGTCGTACAAGAAGATCTATCAATCCCGCAAGTTCATCCATTCATTCATTTGGATTAAACTTCGGCTCCTGCTAAACACCGGAAACTGTTGACAGGGCCGTCCATAGAGGGGTGTGGGGCCCGGGGCAAATCCCACACCGTGTGGGCCCCCTGACGAAATAAAAAAAACCGGGAGTATCACAACTGACACCGTGACATCAAAAAGCGGGCCCCCCCATCCCAAAGCACGGGGCCCGGGGCAGTCGCCGCGATTAGTCAACCCCCAGGGACGTCTCTGCCTGTTGAACATCGGCTCCTGTGCTGGAGGGATACTGCCACCGAGTCATGGTTAACAAGCTGGTATTGCGATACAGACATCGCCGGTTCGATTCGATTTCCTCGCGCAGCAGTTAAAACAACGCTCCCAGCTTTATCTTAAATATCCCACTACCTCTGTCCACGCAGCGGTGTGAATCAGTACGCCACAGTCAGCCGATCGGCAAGTCGCACGCATGGTGAATTAAAATGTGCGTGCTCCAACCAGCCCATCTCTTCTCAGGAGGCCCATGAAATAGAGCCAGACAGCCGATTGGGCCCTTCCTCCTGAAATCAATAAAATCTTTCAACCTTAATGCATGTTGAACTTCTTTCGTACCGTACGTAGCCAACAATGCTAATCGTAGGTGTGGGGGGAGGACAAAAAAACTAAACACACAAAGCCCGAATGAAGACGGTGAAAACCCCCGGGTGGGCAAAGTGAACTCGGCTGACTCACGTTGGTGGTCTTGAGCTTGAGGTGGTAGACGAGCCACTGGTGCCGGAAGTCCGACTCCTCGGCATTCACCGACTTGGGGTGGATGGAGACCTTGCCGTCGGGCTTCGTGTACACCTTCACCCTGGCCGGGACACGCGCAGCAAACACCTTCTTCACTTCGCCGCCAATTACAGCCAATCCCACCCCCCCGCCCCGTGCCACGGGAATATCCACGCTGGGATAGGTGGCTTTCCACTTGCTGCGAACATTTTTTGAGGTTTGCTCAGTGGTGTGCGGAGCACATTTCGGGAGTCGCCCGTCTAGACGACATCCGATCGCAGCGCCTGGCAAAGCGACACCTACCCTCTCCTCTTCTTACTGAAGCTGGGCCGGATCTTGGCCACCTTAGGGTAAAGGCCTGCGCAGATGACCGCCTTCACCAGCTTCTCGTTGCCTGCGCACAACGACCGAGACAGACGCCGCGTCCCGCACCCTTCGATTAGCACAGTTGGCTACATACGGTGCAAAAAAATTGAGTTCAACATACATACTACACAAAACACTACGCACACTACGCTATACACTTCACTATTATTCACTACACCACTATATGAAATTGAAAACTAGTTTGTTGTCCAAACCCCCGCACCTCTGATTTGCACAGTTGGGCTATGTACGGTGCGAAAGAAGTTCAACGTACATACGTACGTACAGACATACGTACGTGCGTCCCCTAATGGGCCTTTGTGAGCGGTCGCCCCTTTTGCACAATGCGCAATCGAGTGACGCACGACAAACAGGGCCAGGTGGTATTGGCCCATTATCCTGAACAGGACGATCATCCAAATACGCTAAACCATGCCTCTGACAAAAGTTATTTTTGTACGGTCCACCGGTTGAGTGACAATACAATTTTTGAACAGAAAGACAGGAGCAAATTTCCAAAATGTCAAAATATGGTTTCCGCAAATATTAGCTCTTACTTATTTGCAGGAAGTGTAACTCAGCACCTGCTTCCTTGTGCCTCTGTACAGTTGTAGAATATATATAGAGAACAGAACAATTAAATAAAATATCAATTATTAAAAAATAAACTATATTTTATTTTACAAGGTAAGGTCTACTGAGCCATATAGCTCTTTTTCAGAAGCGACCTGGCCACAAATGACAGCTCAACGAAGTGGCTTATCATCGTGTAGAAATGTACAGCAGCCAAATAACTCTTTAATCCACACGACCACGGGGAAAACATGCAAACTCAGGGTCGGGACCAAAAGCAAGACCTCCCGCATACCAGGCGAGGTGTTTAACATCTTGCCACCCACGGCGCCAAACGGGCGGTGACCGTGACGGTGGCCCGGGTGGGGGGGGGGGGGGGGCAGCGGTACCCGAGTGCAGGTTGGCCTTGGGGTCGCGGGGATTGCTGTTGTCCACAAAGCCGGCCGCCTGTAGGTGCTCCGCAAACTGGTCCTTCATGTTGTGCAACATCTGTTTGGGGAGAGTTGCACGCGCACCACAGCCAATGTCGTCGCCACCGTTCCTCAACAGACACGCAGCGCGGCTCTCGGCCCAACCCCCCCCCCCCCACACTCCGTCATAACACCACAAATACTAGGAAAGGTAAAAGGCGCAGCACTGCAATTGTCTGCTCACGCCACTGATTGCGTAAGGGGACCAAACCCACTTGAGGGAGTTCTGGCGAGGCTGCTTTTCTTTCTTTTGTATGGCTGATGTAGATGCAGATACAACAACTACACATTCGGGTGGTCAAGTCAGAAACTGCCTCAGGAGCAAGCTAGTGTATCGCTGTAATGAGAGCCTTTTTATAAACGGTATTTATTTGGGCAACTTTTCCACACTGGCAGATGTCTCAGAAGAAGCAGAAGAATTCACACTTTACTTCAGCACTGAGTTTACGTGATCCAGCATCATAACAGCAAGTTGTTATTTTCATGCTTAAAGTCACTATGACCAAAATGGAAACTTTAAGACGATTGCATTGCACACACGTCTAACTTGTGTGGTGTCAAGGGATATATAAATCTGATCACACACACACGTATAACAAATGGCATTCGCCAATAGCGTTGACGTCACCACGGTGCCTGTGCCAGGCTAAGTGCACTTTAAGGCCACGTGAAGTGTCTTATGGCTGCTGGCAGGAGGTCACAGGACAGATCCAGGTGGCATGGGTTGACTGACTGAGATGACTTGCCAATGCACCAGCTGTGCCCCCTAATGTGCCAAATTGCTGTGTTTTAGCTGCCTGGCGCTCCGCTCGTTGTTGTGAGCGTCGCTCCTCTGTCCTCCATTGTTGCTGGAGAGCGACTGCCTCCAACTGCCCAGTAGCAGCGTCCTTCACGAGCCTCCTCCACAGACCCAGGATGGATCGTTGGTAGGCCACCCAAAATGTTTCTAACTGGCAAAGATTTTCTATTAGGGGGGTCCATGTTTCGCAAGCGTAGAGAAGGGAGGGCATGACTGTGGTCAAGAAGACCTGAAGCTTCGTGTGGAGCGACAGACCAGGTAGCTTCCACACAGCGTTACGCAACCGATGAAAATATAATGCCGGTCGACTGATTCGGAGTGAGACCTCTGCTGTCAAACCGGAGCCGGTCATGAGCACACTGCCCAGGTATGGGAAACTCTCCACTCTCTCCACAACTGCCCCATCACCAATTGGGAATTGTGGGGGGTGGAGTGTATGATGGTAAAAAATACCCAGGCAGGTGCTTAGTTTTGGTGGGGCTGATGGTAAGGTCCCATCTCTTGGTGGCACGCTCCAGGTTCAGCAGCACCACATCCAACTCCTCCTCTGAGTGAGCAGCAATTACCAGATCATCGGCATACATAACATGGTTAACCAATAGGGAGCCATCCCTTGACTGCATCTGGGCATCGATCAGCCTCCCATTGTATTTGTACTAGATGGAGATTCCTCCGGTAAAGCCATACAAGGGGCTTCATGAAGCACGTGGTGTAAAAAGATGTTAAATAATGTGGGAACCAGAGGACATCCCTGTTGCACCCCAAGGTGAACAGGGAATGGCTCTGACTCCCGGCCACATAGTTTTACCCGTGCCCGCTCACCATCATGAAGGTCCTTAATGATCTTGAGCATAGTCAGAGACTCCGAAAGCACGAAGAACAACCCAGACCCCAGGCCTATTGAGGTATCATAGCCCTTGACCAAGTCAATGAAGCAGAGATGTAGGTCCTGTCAGAATTCCCTACACCTCTGCTGTAGCAGACGGACAGAAAATATGGCATCTGTGCAGGACCGCCCTGGCCTGAAACCACATTAGGGCTCCCAGCCTCTCCTCAGCGTGCCTGGCAAGGCGATGTTGAATAATCCTTGCCAGGACCTTTCCCAGTACACTGAGGAGTGAAATGCCCCTGTAGTTGTTACAGTCTGTGCGGTCCCCCTTCTTAAAGGGGACCACCAGGGCATGCTTCCAATCCTGCAGAACCTGTCCAGTGGTCCAGACTGTTATTATGATGTCATACAGCGCAGTCTGCACACAAATGCTACCCATGTACGCACACACACACCTATTGGATGCGCCTCCCAATGTTTACTTGAAAATATAGGGAGGGGGAAAAAAATGGGCGTCTTGTAAACCAGAAAATAGGGTATATTTAAAACTTAAAAAATGTGACAGAACCAGTCGGTCAATATGAAATTTTCATCGTGCGCGGCGCAGGGAAGAAATATGTGACGAGATGTCGAACGAATTCCAGCGCAATTGTGTTCTTAGCATTCGGCAGAACTGCCCGAGGCCGGGCGGGCTTAGCTACCAGGCCCGCCCTTCCAACGACGCGTGACACAGAGCTGCGGAACGAGACTCCCGAGCAGCGAGCAACGATGTGGCGCTGTCACGCAACAAGTGGGATAAAAATAGTTATGACATGCTCTGCGCGACTTGAGCACAATGTCCCACAGTGACGCCACGCGCGGGAAAAAAAAACTGTTATTTACTTGGACTTGTTTTGGGCGGGACAGGAAACAATGTGGAGCAGGAGTAAATAAGTGCATTGGTTCAGTAATGACTTGGGCTTCCCGTCTCTACACAGGGCACTTAAGTCTTGAAGATTACCCGATGCTTGCGGTAAGTAATTCTATCTCTGGGAGGATATGACAAAATGAAGAACTCCATCGCGCCTAAAGTTTTTCACTTTGCAGGCAGTGGAACATCAGTGAAGCGACCAGTTCACATTTTTCAGAGGGGGAACATTGTTTTGTGTACGGACTGTTGGGGCACGTGCTGTTTGCGAGCATCTATTAAAACAAGCGTGGCACCCGAGTACCAGGCATGGCAAACACCACGCCCGGCCGTCTGTTTCTTCCCAGTGCCGATGTTTACACACAAACGCACCAGGTACCCACTCAAGTCGACCTGAGGGGAGGCCCAGGACAAGTCCAGGTAGTCATTCCCAGGAATCGAACTCAGGTCGCTGGAGTTATACCGTGGCGCACTAACCGCTGTGCTACCTCTCCGCCATATACAAAGTACGCACATACTGTCACACGTACAAACGCACTGGGGAGCGCACGTTCTGAAGTGACAGGGGCTCGGCATCCACCAACCACTACTGACCTGCAGTGTGTTCTGGGAGAGGAAGTACTCCCAGCAGAAGTCGTTCACCGACCGGCCATGACCCCGCCGTCCCTGCTCCCAGCGCTGCGTGGCCAAGAAAGTAACACGGCACCTCACTCGACGGTCTCTCACCTGGCACACGCTGGCCAACTCACGGGGGACTTGCAATTCAGAGGTGGCCGCTTCGATTCAGTCACCCGGCGTGGATGCTCAATAACGGAGCAGGTTTATAATAATCCCTCCCCTAACCCAGCTGTATAAATGGGAACATCACAGTCAACCGGAAGGTCCTGTGTGGTGGTGTTAAATGTGGGTACTTCCACCTTGTGCAACGCGTCTGGATCAGTGTGAAAGAGTAGGCCAAATACCCTCTAGAGTGGGCTCTCTAGAGCGTTACTCTAAAAGGGACTCTTTAAACAGCTCAATCTAGTGGAGGTGCGAGCTAGCAATTGCAGGGCTGCACCTTTATTTAACTTTTACAAGGGCGCCTTGGTGGCGAGATGTTATCTCCCTTGCCTGGTATACAGGAGATCGTGGGTTCGATCCTGACCATGACGCCTGCTGTATATTTGGAGTTTGCATGTTCTCCCCGTAGCCACGTGGATGTTTCTCCAGGTCCGTCAATTTTTCCCTCCACATTTCGAAAAATGCATTTAGTATTTGGCTGCTATAAATGTCCACATGATAAACCATTAATTGGGCCACAATTTGTGGTCAGGTAACGTCTGAAAAAAGAACTATATAGCTCAGTGGGTCTTACCTGGTAAAATAAAAAAAATGATTTTTTTTAACAATAGTGCAACGGGGGTGACCTGTAAAAACTGCAGATCCCCAATCGTTAAAAAGCTGGTGGCTAGAAGCTCAGAGTGGAAGCGAGAAGTACGAAAATAGGAAGCTGTGGCGACCCATGCCCAAACAGCCAGCTCGTGATCTCTGATGTGATGGGAAACTCACCTGCAGGGCGTACACAATGGTCAAGTGGTCGCTCTTGCAGTTTTGGGAGAGTTCCCGCCGTTTGGCGTCCGCGAGCTTCTCCTTTCCCTGGAATCGCACAGGGGGAGACGCACGGGAGAAACACAGGAGAGATGTATGGGAGAGGCCCACGGGAGAGACGTCCTGGAGAGACGTACAGGAGAGATGTATGGGTGAGTCACAGAGGAGAGACGCACGGGGTCACGGTAACATCTGTAAAAGTTGATCCAATAGACATGAAATGTTTGCACAAAGCTGTTGCTACTGGGGACTTACCCTGTATAAAAACGGACAAATTGATCAAAGGGTTACCTAAAACATGGATAGAAAAACCAGTGCTAAAGAGATGTCTTTTCGACAAAGGCGCCAACGTCATACGCCACGAACGCGCCCTACCCCGTGACGCCGTTACGTGCGACGTCATCTCACGACAGGACACAAACTACCTGATGCCATCTGGTTGTGCGGCTCGGAAGATATTTTAACACTAATTACATTCTTTCGAGGACAAATGCACGTGTGATACTGTGACACAACCCATGCACGAATGCATGATTTTTCTTCCTTTTTGCTTTTGGTGTTTTCACCACCTACCAAAGGGATGACAAAGGGATCCTTGAATCCGAGGCAGGCGGCGATGCCCAGCACCGGGTCCAGGCAGCTGAACATGGCCCCGAAGAGGATGAGCTTTCCGATGTGCGGCTCCACGGGCAGCCGCGCCAGGTGGAATCCCAGCGCGGTGAGCTCTTCCGCGCGGCTCAACGCATTCTGACGAGCACAATCAGACGTCACAAGACCCGACGTTTGTTCTACTACACGGACGGTGGTGGTGGTGGCTGCGCGCGCCTGCGGTCCAGCGCTGTGGATGGCGGCAGCGAGGGTTGGCGGACCGAGAAACGAATATCATACAACTCCCTTCCCGTGGGCGTCGAGGAGGAGCCATATCTTGGCTCGCTAGGAGACTGTAAAGCAAATGCGGACCGACTTCAACCGGTCCACCTGCATTCACCCAAATCCTTTTTTTAATTAAATGATTGCCATTCGTGCGATGCGATTGTCCGGTGGCGTGGACGGGGCAACTCACCAGGCCGATGAGGTTGGTGATGGCCAGCAGCACGGCTTGCTCTGTAGGGGGTTGCATCGTCCGCTTGATGAAATCCTCGATCCTACCCAGCTTCAAAATCTATTGGACACAGCATTGCAAAGCGATGACTAAAAACTAGCCGTACCGTAAAATCAAAGTTTCTTAAATCCATTCCCCTCATTCGCCCCCCCACACCAACCGCCCACCTCTGTCCACATCGCAGTTCCGATTGGTACATTACAGTCCATCAACAGGCCGCCTGAAGTGGAGTAAAGCGTGGGTAATGCTGACCTATTTATCCATGTGCTATGAACAAGCGCCATTCCCCAAAAGGTCACCTTTTATGGCCGCAAATATGTTACTAATTTATTATATTATTTATAAACATACATACGTGCTTGTGCAGCAATGCCAACGCAGCATCACCTCATCGTCCTCTCTTAGCTGGCGTGTGTGACTGCATGTGCGCGTCTTGGTAGATTCATCCTCTGACCTTAATCTGCAAGCAGAGTTCTTCCAGTGGTGTGCGGAGCATCTCGGGCAGCTGGTAGTCGGACAGCATATTAGCTCGCAGCCCATTGTACAAGTGATAGCAGAATCCGGCTTGAACTCTGCACGCACACACACACACAGACATCTAATTCAACACCCCCCACCTTGTGTACTGTGCCAGCTTTACCGGGTTATCACCGACAGTGCTCGTTTGAGGCTACGCAGGGTGTCTTTGGGATTCATAATTGATTTTTGGATTAGGCCACGTAATGCTCTGGACAAAAATGTCGTAATGAAACCCTCCGCAGTGTGACCTACGTGTTAAGGGATCTTAGTGTTTGTGTGCGCGCGTGTGTGTGAATTAAAAATGTAACTAATAAGCTTGTACCAGAGGCCCCGGGGGGACAGGCGTCTATGACGTCTCCTGGCCAAACCCCAATTGGCGGAGCCAGGAGATTGAATCTCTACCCTCGGGGCTCCTCCAGAAACAACGCAAAGCCACTTCGTGTAGCCACGTGGAATGTTCGAACGCTCACTGCGGAGGAAAGGCTGCCACTCCTCTGTCGGGAGCTGGACCGGTACTGCCTGGATCTCTGTGGCATTCAGGAGGTCCGGTGGACCAGTTCTGGCTCCTGCCACCATGAGAGGTGGACAGTCCTCTACTCGGGGCAGCAGACTGCCAAACAACATGGTGTGGCTCTTCTTTAGAATGAAAGAATGAAGGGGGCGTGGGAGAGTGGCGGTGAGGTGTGGAAAGCTGTAAGCCCCAGGCTACTTTGGGCTCGCCTTCCCATCAACCGGAGGCGAGGAGTGTTGGTCGTGGTTACTTATGCCCCCACCGAAGACGAACATCCGTGGAGGGATGCAGGCAAAGCCGATGAGTCCGATGCCTTCTATGACCTCCTGTCACAGGTGCTTGCTAAAGTGGCCCCTCGGGATAGTCATCTTGTTGGGTTATTTCAATGCCCGAGTTGGTCATGATGCTGGAACCTGGTCTGGAGTGATTGGAGGGCATGGGCCAGATCAGCTCAATAACAACGGTAGAAGGCTGCTAGATTTTTGTGCAGCCCATGGGCTTGTAATTACCAACACGCTGTTCCGGCATCGGCGCTTCCACACAACATCATGGATGCATGCCGGGTCCAAGAAAGAACATCTGCTGGACTACATAGTGACGGACCAGCAGATGCGAGCCCATGTCCTTGACACCAGGACCTAAAGTGGAGCTGATCTGCCCTTTGACCATCGACTAGTCATCTGTAAGATGCGTCTGCCATTCTTCCACTCCGGTGGTGGGTGTACACCCAGGACCCCATTCCAACCTAAAGAGGCCTGGTCTCAGTTATCTGATGAAAGTTGCAAGCGAGAATTTCATCATCGCTTGCGGCTGGGGTTGGCATCGTCCCCCACTCCTCCTGATGTCGAGGGTAAATGGGCGAGGTTTAGGACTGTGACTCATGTAGCTACAATGGCTGCTTTGGGTACGTGGTCCAGACCTCCCTAGAGACCCTGGCTGACAGAGGTGTTCAGGATGGTTGAGAAAAAGCGACAGGCCCACTGTCATCGGCTACAGAATCCCACGTCAGAGAATGAGGAGGCTTACCGCAGCCTTCGCTCGGAGGTTCAGAGAGCCGTGAGGCGCTGCAAGGATGGGTGGTGGTCGCGGGTTTCTGAGGAGATGGAGTCTGCCTCAGTGGCTCGCGATCACTAATCTCTATTTAACTCCATCAAAAAAGTAACCTGCAGCACCACACCTATTACCATCATTAGGGGAAACAACGGTGATCCAATCTCCGACCCCCAGGAACAGGTTTGCAGATTTGCTGAGCATTTCTGTGGGGTCCTGGGGGAGGGGAAATCCCTCAGCCAGAAAACCATCGTGGCACAGAGTGGGGATGACCCTGCTGAGGCTGCGGTGCCTCAAATATTGGAGGAAGTCACCCCCTGTGAGTGGCTTGCTGAGGTGCCATTTGTTGAGGAAGTACTGAAGGCGATCCGGAGTCTGAGACCAGGAAAGGCACCGGGTAGAGATGATCTCCCAAGCGAAATGCTGAGGGAGGGTGGCGTTTGTGCACAGACTGCCCTATATGACATCATAACAACAGTCTGGACCACTGGACGGGTTCCGTAGGATTGGAAGGATGCCCTGGTGGTCCCCCTTTTTAAGAAGGGGGACCGCACAGGCTGTAACAACTACAGGGGCATCTCACTCCTCAGTGTGCCGGGAAAGGTCCTGGCAAGGATTATTCAACATCGCCTTGCCAGGCACGCTGAAGAGAGGCTTGCGGAACCCAAATGTGGTTTCAGGAAAGGGCAGTCCTGCACAGATGCCATATTTTCTGTCCGCCTGCTACAGCAGAGGTGTAGGGAATTCCAACAAGACCTACATCTCTGCTTTATTGACCTGGTCAAGGCCTATGATACCATCAGTAGGCCTGGGCTCTGGGTTGTTCTTCGTGCTTTAGGAGTTCCTGACCCTCTGCTCACGATCATTAAGGACCTTCATGATGGTGAGCAGGCCCGGGTAAAACTACGTGGCCGGGAGTAAGAGCCATTCCCTGTACACCTTGGGGTGCGACAGGGGTGTCCTCTGGCTCCCACATTATTTAACATCTATTTTGACCACGTAGTTCGTGAAGCCTTCAATACCTGTACCGGGGGAATTTCTATTTGGTACAGATATAATGGGAGGCTGATCGATGCCCGGGTGCGGTCAAGGGATAGCTCCCTATTGCTCAACCACGTTATGTATGCCGATGATTTGGTAATAGTTGCTCATTCAGAGGAGGAGTTGGAGACGCTGCTGCTGAGACTGGAGCGTGCCACGAAGAGATGAGGCCTTACCATCAGCCCCACCAAAACTAAGCACCTGCCTGGGTATTTTGTACCATCGGACACTCCACCCCCACAACTCCCAATCGGTAATGGGGCAGTTGTGGAGAGAGTGGAGAGTTTCCCATACCTGGGCAGTGTGCTTATGACCGGCTCCAGTTTAACAGCAGAGGTCTCACTCCGAATCAGTCGAGCGGCAATATCTTTTCATCGGTTGCGTAACGCTGTGTGGAAGCTACCTGGTCTGTCGTTCTGCATGAAGCTTCAGGTCTTCTCGGCCACGGTCATTCCCTTCCTTCTCTACGCTTGTGAAACGTGGACCCCCCTAATGGAACATCTTCGCCGGTTAGAAACATTTAGGCTGGCCTTCCTACGATCCATCCTGGGTTTAACCAGGCTGGATTGTGTGAGCTCACAAATCCTTGAAAGATCTGCGCAAGGTCCCATCGGTGAGCTCCTCCGGCGGGCAAGGCTGCGATGGCTGGGTCATGTAGCCCGCATGCCCAGCCACCGCATGCCGAAACAGCTTTTGTTCGGCCGGATCGAGGGGGCTAAACGGGCACGGCACGGGCTAGAGAAGAGATGGAGTGATGTGGTACAGGAGGACGTGGAGCTGAGTGGACTTGCCGATGACTGGTACCAGCGGTGTCAAGATCGGCCTCTGTGGATGAGGCTCGTGAAGGACACTACTGGGCAGTTGGAGGCAGGCGCCCAACAACAACGGAGGGCGGAGGAGCGACGCTCACAACAACGAGCGGAGCGCCGGGTGGCTGAAGCACAGCGGGTTGGCACAGTAGGGGGCACAGGTGGTGCATCAGCCAGTCATCTCAGTCATCTCAGTCGACCCGTGGCACCTGGGTCTGCCCCGATGACCTCCTGCCAGCGGTCGTTCGACACTTCACGTGGCCTCAAGGTGCACATGGCCTGGCACAAGCGTCGTGGTGACGTCACCGCCACTTAGTGGCGAATGGCGGTTGTTGTTCTTGTTGTGTAGATGGGGAGCAGTAGTGTAACAGGTTTGTGCGCTGCGCAACAAACCCGGTGTACTGAGTTAGATTCCTGCTCATCAGTGAAAATTATCTGAATCGGTCCTGGGCCTCCCCTAGGTCGACTCAGCCTCAAATGAGTACCTGGTGCTGTGTGAAACATAGCCATTGGGGAGGCAAAGGTGGCCGTGAGCGGTGCTGGCCAACCACCCCCTCGTGTGCCGTGCCGGCCTTCATAGGTGCTCGCTAACAGCACTTGCCCCAATAGTCTGTAAAGGCTATACGGGGGGATTGTTGTCTTTGTGAACGTGGAGAGCAGTAGTTTAGCGGTTAGCGTGCTGCGCTACGAACCCGGTGTACTGAGTTCAATTCTCGCTCATGGCCCACACCAGTGAGAATTATCTGAATTGTCACCTAGGTCGACTTAGCCTCAAATGAGTACCCGGTGCGGTGTGTAGTAAACATCATCACTGGGAAGGCAAAGGTGGCCGTGCGTGGCGCCGGCCACCCACCCACCCACTCCCTCTCGTGGTTCATAGGTGCTCGCGAACGGCACTTGCCCCAACAGTCTGTTAAGGCTACATGGGGGGGTCTTTGTATTGTGTGTGTGTGTGCACGCGTACCGGCCAGCACGTCCCCGCCTCTGCTTGGCGTTGGCCAGGCTCACCCACTCGGGCTTCATGGTGGAGATGTTGTTGTCGACGTCAAAGTGCGTCTCCTTGATCTTGCCGCAGTCGATGACGTGCACCACATCGTCGATCGTGATGCTGTGGTGCGAGGGGGCGCGCGGCATGATGGAAGGAGCGGTATTTAGTGGAAGGCGACTTTACAAATTAATGTCAATTATTATTATTTAAGGGCAACGGCAACCCGGACGCAAAACAAACGCTTGTAGATATATATATGTACACGTCTAGTAGGGTTGAGTTTCAGATTGAGACAGCTTTGGGATATTTGATTTTTTGAGACGTCGTTGGATTATTTTTGAACCATAAAAAAAGGGGAGCTGTTTCCAACTCAAATGAGAAATCATGCGGTGAACATCTCCTACCTAGATCCCCGAGCCTGTGGTTACAGTCGGAACACAACACACAACCCACTCTTCCCCCTTCCATGACACGCACGCGCGCACACGCGCGCACACACGCGCGCACCTGGTCTCTGCGATGTTCGTGGCGATGACAATCTTGCGTACGCCAGGCGGAGGCCTCTCAAACACCTGTCGCAGGCGTCGCCAACAAACGAGCAACACGCCACACGTGAGCAAAGTGCGATCCTGCAACATCGCGGGGTACGCTCAGCGGCTACTACAAAGTGGCATGCGCCGATCTCGTCAGCGAGGCTAGGCTACGTGAGCGGGAGAGCAAAAGAGCCAGAGAAAGAGAGAGGTGGTACCTTCGTTTGGCTGATTGTAGGCATGAGGGAGTGCAGAGGGATGATGATGAAATGTTCTGTAAAAATGCACGTTTCACGTCGGTTAGATGGCGAGTTGTACACATACAGTTGCTCGCTGAAGTAAAGCAAGCTCAACGCGTTTTCAAAACCAAATGAAGGCATACGCACGGGCGATAATGAAAAGCATCAACTGTGAAGCGCTGTTGAAAAAGCTACGCGAGTTTGTACTTCGGAAGCGTCGTTACAATTTAAAATATTTAACCAAACAAATCTAACATCTCTCATCTCGTACGCACGTACCTACGATCAACCACACTTGCTATTCAATAATGCGTCATCCTCTAGGTGGGGATGTGGTTCAAGAAACAATGTCTTTTTTTTAGTTATTCCCGAAGATAAAAAAAATAATTCATTACGGCACCACCAGCAGTCATATACAGAGTCCAACATTGCACATCTGATTCGCTTAGGACTGATGTATGCAAGCATGTAGATTAACAATACGTGTGTCAGTATTCTGATGCATATCATACCTATGTACAACCCATCTGTCGCTCATCACTACACACAGAGGGTTCGAGTGTTTTAACTGCATTAGGAGAGACACATACACACAGGCCACAGCAGAGGGCGCTCCATGCCTATCATTGCCGTCACGAGGAAACTCAGAACCAGAATCATTATTTAGGCTGCAGGAGGAATCTGATGAGCTTTAACGCTCTTCACAGATGTCCAAGTAGGGGCGGGGCAGAAAGTTACAACTCACATTTGATAATAACAGTGTGGCATTAAAAAGTATACAATAGGTGACATTGTGGGCAATAGCTCTTCGTCAGAGCACACAGGACGGGCCAGAGAGGTAGCGTGGCCTCTCCACTTGCTGTGAAGGATGGGCTTCAAATGTTTGGAGTGATGTGTGCTGATTGCACAATACCTGCACTAAACATCTGGTCTGCGGTGAGAGTTGTATGCAGCTTGCTGATGTCAGCCCAGCCAGGCAAAAACACCAGGATGGCTCCGTCCTATCACACGGCACACGCACGCGGGTTCACAATGTAAACATGTTGCACGGTGCATTACACGCATCGTACAACAGCAGCAGCTGGGATTCGCCACCGAGTGACGGTGACATCACCACGGCGCTTTTGCCATTGGTGTTACACGGCGACGGCACGGCATGCCGGCATCCACCGCGGCGGAACCTGAGCTTGCGCAGGGCGCACTGCTCCGAACGATGGCAGCAGGTGGGTAGAGATCGATGATGGAATGGCAGCCAAAGGACGGAACAACCAAGAGGATGACCTCTGCGGGGATGCAGGGATGAGGCCGGCGCATGTGCAGGAGTGACACCGATTGCGGGATCACGGGGCCATGTGGGGAGAGCTGTCATCCAGCAGTGGATAGAACAAAGCTGCTGTTGATGACCTTATGCCGAATGAAGGGGATACAAATTATCATGCGTGGATAAACACATTCATTCCTGAAAACATCTTAATATATAGAGGACAGCAGAGCTCGGGCAACTGCTGGTGCCAGTTTACAGCCTGGCTGGATATTTAGCAGTATGGACGTTACCATTATCGTGGAGCTTACATCGTAGTATCTACACACCGCTGCAACCCATGTCCACCCGTTTAAGACAAAAACGACCTCTCCGCAGGGGCAGGTCACTGTGCGCCCCCATCAAGCGATGACCTTATCGTGAATTGCACATGTCCCTAATGATGTTGCCCTTTGCAGATATCCGCGTAAAAAAATAATAAAAGCAATTAGCCGTGAAAATCCGCCGCATATGGCCATTTGTGTCTCACATCAATGGGGCCTCGCTCGGGATGGGGGGGGGGGTAGGGACCAAAACAATCACTGGGGGAGGCTTATTTTAATTGGCAGTCCCGTGAGATGTACCGCTCACATGTTGCCATGACAACGGGGTCAGGGATCGCAAGGCTCGATTCGTTTGTGAGGAGGCCCTTATTAGCAACGCGGTTATGTGCTGTGCGGTGATGCGCTGAGCGCTGCTGCGCCGAGCGGCGACTGGCCGAGCGGCGCTGAGCTGCGATGCGTGGTGATTTTCTGAGTGGTGATTGGCTGAGCGGTGATGCGCTAAGTGGCGATTGGCTGAGCAGTGATGTGCTGAGCGGCGATTGGCTGAGCGGCGATGCGCCGAGCGGCGATTGGCCGAGCGGGGATACGCTTACCGGCGATTGGCTAGCGGTGATGCGCTGAGCGGTGAAGCGCTGAGCGGTGATTGGCTGAGCGGTGATGCGCTGAGCGGTGAAGTGTTAAGTGGTGACTGGCTGAGCGGTGATGCGCTGAGCGGCGATTGGCCGAGCGGGGATGCGCTGAGCGGCGATGGCTGTGCGGGGATGCGCTGAGCGGTGAAGCGCTGAGCGGTGATTGGCGGAACGGTGATACGCTGCTGACTGAATTGCTGCCCGGGAATGCACGACGCCAGCTCGCGTCCGAACCCCCACGATCATCGCATTTCCGAACCGACCGGGAATCGCTTTCATAGCTCATTCGCCTCAATTAATTCTCATTCAAACCACGCATGTCGTCTTCATCAGAACCAATGAACATCACCTCCCCGCTCCCTCTCAACCGTTCTAGACGAGGACAAAGCTAATCGATTAACCCTGGGGGGGGGGGGGGGGGGGGGGGGAGGGTGGGGGTGCTAATTGTAATGAGATAATTTTCAATGAAGGGTGAGGCTGAGGTGGGGGGTAGGCAGGCGCCACGCCGGCCTTGCCTCCGCGTGCAGCACGATGTGGCGGATGAGCGCCGCGATGAGGTCCGCGTCGATGAGCTCATCGTCGATCATCTCCAGTGCTTGGACGGTGCTCATGGAATACCTGCCAAGAGGTGGCACGTGTACATTGTCAGTATTGTGTTGTTGCGGTTTTTTTTCTTACACGTAACACACTCGACATATTTATATTTAGACTCGCTTCTCTATTTTGCACTCCGAACGTCTTTGTGCCCATCACTACTCGAGCGTGCCAGAATGCTCGTGCAGTGACGTTGCACTACTTGAGCATGCTGGCACAAGACAGAAGCGGAAAGAAATTACAAAATGTTCAGTGGACACGCGGATGTTGTGAGTTTAACATGTAGGCTTTCCTGACCAATATCATCCATAATTCAGGTTTTTTGGGTTAGATCGTGTAAATATAAATGTGTCGTTAAACCCGCCACCACCCCACAGAGTACAGCACACCGGTGTGTTGGAGAGCAAATGAGTACGTCTCGCCAATAATTACCACTAGCATCATCAGGACAGTCAGATTTGTGAGTGTGTGTGGGCATAGCGCCCCCTCCCACCGTCCCCCCACCCTTCCCCGCTGGAGACGCACTTCCCGTGCAGCGAGTCGAGGTATTCGGGCCAGCGCTGCTCGTACTCCTGCTGCATCTCCTGCTCGGCCTGCCGCCGCTGCCGCCCGTGCATGAACAGGTTCCGGCGCGACCTCTGCTGCGGACGCTGCAGTGGGCAGTACCTGCGTTCACAAAGACAAAGGTCCCCCCCCACTCCCGTATAGCCTTGAGCGGACTGTTGGGGCAAGTGCTGTTGGCGAGCGGCACCTACGAAGGCCGGCGCGGCACACGAGGGGGTGGGGTGGCCAACGCCACGGCCGGTTGCCTTCCAGTGGCGACGTTTACACAACGCACCGGGTACTCATTTGAGGCTGAGTCGACCTAGGGGAGGCCCGGGACCGGTTCAGATAATCGTCACTGGTGTTGGCCGTGAGCGGGAATCGAACTCGGGTCGCCAGGTTCATAGCGCAGTGCGCTAACCGCTACACTACGGCTCCCCACAACACACACACAGGGACACACGATGCATCTGAGTGAACTGTCTCTCCAAAATGCCGCTTTTCCACATGTGGTAATGGACATTTTTATATGCACTGCCAAAAAAAACATTAATTTTATGATATTGAAATGTTCTACGAGCCAGCATATACCCATTTAGCTCTCACAATGTACCACACTGACACCATCAGTTAACTAAATCTGAGAGCCCGGTTTGATCAAACATGGCTGTCCGGATTTGAACCCCAGAACTTCCAAGTGGCCAGGCCGGTGAGTCGCACAGCATTAGCTGGAGCGACAGAGCCACCTCTAAATTTCCGTGGGTTCCCGGTGACCTCTGCACTTTGACACCCACTTTCTCCCGCTGATTGCTGGCAAGGAAACACAACGAGGTGTCAAACACAAGACGCGTATTCGAGTTAAAATATCAACCATGTGCCTTACCTCCCAAAGGTTACTGAAAAATGTCGACCTCATTATTATCAGAAGCGGAATATTCGTGTAGCCTAAACAAGGCTCCTGAGTGTAGCCCGTAGTCACCACCATCCAGTAGCACACATAACACTCGAACTTTACATCAGCTGCTAAGGTCCACTGAGTTCAGCAGCTCTTGTACAAGGATGACCACAGTCGAAGACTGGCAAGTGGTGGCAGTTACAGGACAAATGCCAGGTGTGAATGTGCAAACTAACACATACGATAAGGTCACACTCATTATAAGGTCGCACTCATTACACACAGAATGCTTGCCACAAATGAACCACAATACCTTGCAGCTCTCGTCAAGGAGCATACAAAATCACGCGGACTCCCGTCATCCTCGCAGCGGCTTTTGGCTGCTAGCCATCGAACAAAGACGGTCACTGCATCGCGCGCTTTCAGGTGTGCTTCTGTGGCCGTCTGGAACGCCCTTCGTCCCGATATTAGAAAGCCACTGGAGCTATGACACTTTTAAATCTCGATTGAAAACTCATTTGCTGAGAAATGCTTTTTGTGTTAAGTTTCTTGTCCTTCCCCGCACCTCTAATTAACACGGTTGACTACGTACCGTGCAAGAGAAGTTCAACAAACATACACATACATAATCTGCACACAATCTTTCCTATGTCCAACTGGGCTAATGCCTTACTAAACAAGTGGAAACATCGGACGCGCGGAAGCGTTTAATGAGCCAGATAAAGCCACCTCCCGGACCACACGGCGAGATGACCGCACGCGTAACGGCGGTCTGTCGGGGGCAGGCGAGGCGCGCGTTCACGCACGCCGCGCTGGCTCACCACCGAGGCTGAAAAGGCTTACGCATTCACCGCTGTTCACTTTGTTTTCTTGCCACATCTTAGGCAACCACGGTTCTTATAGAGCGTGTAAGTTCCCAAAGAGCAACACGCCACTTGGAGAAATTCATGTTGCATCATCATTACAAGGATTATCGTGATGCCATGTCATCGACACAGATAAGACAGAGATAATGTGTGAATGCTTTCTGCTCGTAAGTAAATTGTTAAAAGTGGCTTACAACGTCAAAAATATGTCTAAGCAGAGGCTCTGGGGCCCCTATTGTCCAAAGCATGTGCATTCAGACCATGATTATTAAAAAAAAACTCAACGAATGGCACGGATACCTGGTCATTTCGAGCACATCTTCCAAGAGGTACTCCTGCACTGGGAAAGTGAACCCGGGTATGTGGATGATGGGACAACCACCTGAAAAACATAAAGTTAACAACAACCAACTATCAGTGCTATAACAAAAACGATCTCCAGTAGAGCCTGAACAGACTTTTGGGGCAAGTGCTTTTAGCGAGCATCCCACGAAGGCCGGCACGGCACACGAAGGGGATGGGTGGTCCAGCACCACGGCCGGCAGCCTTTGTTTCCCCAGTGGCGATGTTTACACACTGCACCAGGTACTCATTTGAGGCTGAGTAGACCTAGGGGAGGCCCAGGACCGGTTTACATAATCGTCACTGGTGTTGGCCGTGAGGGGGAATTGAACTCGGGTTGCCAAGTTCGTAGCGCAGTAAGCTAACCCTTTGCACCACCACTATACCACTGAAAAAATAAAATAACAAACAAGTATTAAGTGTTTACATTATGAGACCTCCTTTGCCGGTAACAAGATATAGTAATAGGTTTTTACCCTTTTAGCTGGCACAAAAACTGACACCTTTATACAAGGGATCATGTTTGCAATAACCACAACACAAGCAGTCAAAAATGCAAACAAAAAGAAACAAGTCTGATAATGATATTGGCACTGTCCTTGAATTTGATTGGTCCACACCCGAGACGGCTTTTCTTAGAGCCTAGTCTCCACTGGTGTTGGACCAGATGACGCCATAAGGCGCACAACTCAAAAACAGCGCACTATAAGAGTATTGAGAGCTCGGGGTAAGCTTTTACATTGAGACCTCCTTTGCCAGTAACAAGATATAGTAATAGGTTTTTACCCTTTTAGATGGCACAAAAACTGACACCTTTATACAAGGGATCATGTTTGCAATCACCACAACACAAGCAGTCAAAAATGCTTGTGTTGTGGTTATTAAAAACATGATCCCTTGTATAAAGGTGTCAGTTTTTGTGCCAGCTAAAAGGGTAAAAACTTATTACTAAGTATTAACTGCCATAACACAACCGTTAAAATAACACAACATTAAAATACACCCCCCGGGTGCAGGACGGCAACGACAGCCGGGAGCTCACCAAAGTATCGCGAAAACATCTGCGCGTTGAGCGTAGCGCTCATGACGATGATGCTGAGGTCGGGCCGGTGGGGCAGGACGTCGCGCACGATGGTGAGCAGGAAGTCGGACTGCAGGCTCCGCTCGTGCACCTCGTCCAGCACCAGGTGGCTCGTGCCGCGGAGCAGCCTGCGCACGGCGACACTCGGCTCGTCACAACGATCCACGGCCGCGCCGTCGCGCACGCCGGTCAGGACTTGTGGAGGGCGACGTGGCCGAGGCCGTCTGCGCGTTCTCCCGATTGTTTCAAATGAAAATTGAAACACAGCTTTTCCCAAGTCAAACAGTTTTTTAATGTTGTGGCTTGGCTCTCCAACACACCGGTGTGCTGTACTAGTAACGAATTGCCACGTTCTGTTTACGTGACAAACCTTACTAATTGGCTGTGCCGGGTGGTGGCGGGTTTAACGACACATTTATATTTCCGCGATCTAACCCAAAAAACCTGCATTATGGATAAATATAAGAAGTTTAACATATAAACAAGAAATTCAACATACATACGTACAATATCGTTTGTGGGCCGTTTAAAAGTTGTGGGCCCTCACGTGGCTGTGGGTTGTGTGCATAGAAGTCACAGGTTTTGTCCAGCACATGGGCCCATAGGTTCTTCAGTCCTGGTCTAGAGTGGTGTTGCGGTCGTTTTTGAGAGTACATTATAGCAGGAGTGCAAATGAAGCCGACTTCATACAGGCAATCAGTCAATGATAAGTAGAAGTGGGTAAAAGGCTGTTAACTCTGCCTGGTAACTGAGTAGGTATAGTCTATTTAAAATTAAACATACACAAAGCATTGACTTAAAGCTTTCGTGACTGCAGGAATTCATATTCTTTGGGTCTTTCGGTAAAGTCACGTAGAACAAAAAAAATATTAACAAAAAACTACGATGTTTCGATCGCAACACAAGCAACCGCAACACAAGCAATCGTCATCAGGAGTATGACGATTGCTTGTGTTGCGATCGAAACGTCGTAGTTTTATGTTAACATTTTTTAATTCTACGCGAGTTTACCGAAAGACCAAAAGAATATACACAAAGCACATCGCATATGTGACTCATTGGGGCTGAAGTATAGATGGGTATGTGAAAACGTGACAAATGTGAACATCTATAGAAAATGACAGTTATATTTCCGAGCACAAAACACTGTGCACAAAACACTGTGCTAGGAGCGATTGATTACTTGGTCACGGCAGATATTCGACGGCCGGGACACGCGGCGTTGCACCGCATGTACCAGAGAGGAAGGCGTCATGCGTTTGGGCCCCAAAAAAAGCGACACGCAGCGAAGGAGAGAAGACATCCGAGACGTTACCGGTCTGTTTGTAGCCACTGCAACACGATCCCTGTTGTGGCGTAAAGGACCGAGCCTTGCTTCCTTGGAAACCGGCTGGAAGAGATTACGTAAAAAAAAAAAACGCACAACAATAAGGGGACGGCGCTTTTGTTAAGAGCATATTGTTGATTCGGGAGCTGTCACCCCATTCTAACGGAAATAAAGTCGCTTAGTTTTAGGTGGGCACGCACACTTTAGTCACTATTCCCCTACACGGTAAATCCGATGCCTTTGGTATGATACACAATCGCTGTACTTGTCTTTTTCACCAATCCTGTGTTCATATTTTTTCGTGTAAAAATGTACACGTTGTTCATTTTAAGACACACCATTAGCTTCCCAGAGTGGTGTGCGGTGGTGGGGTAGATAGCCCAATGCACCATGAATGAGGCACGTGACCCGAATTCCGATTCCAGGTCACCGGTTAACACCAGTGGTGAGCAATATTCCGTTCGATGCTGGGCCCACCGCCCTTCTCCAAACCGCATTGATCGGCATGAAGTATGGTCACACAACCCCAGTGATTGAAAAGGCATGGGAAGGGCTTCATCCAGCAGTGGATTAAGGGCTTTACCAAATCAGCCCTCAAGAGCTCATATTACAAACTTTAGCACAATACACCGTTTATATTAAACTAAACATTGTTTTATTTTAAAAGGTAAGGCGCACTGAGCAACACAGCTCTTAATCAGAAGCGACCTGGCCACCAATGATAGCTCACCGAATCGGCTTATCACGTGGAAATCTATAGCAGTCAAATAGACTAAACGTCTCAGTTGACTCTAAATGTGGAAGGAAAAAACCAGAAGACCAGGAGAAAAATCCACGGGACCACGGGGAGAACATGCAAGCTCCAAATATACTGGCCGTCAGGGTTGGGAACGAACCCACGACCTCTTGCATACCAAGCGAGGTAGTTAACATCTCGCCACCATGGCACCCCAGTATATTATAGATACTTAAATGCGGGAGTGGAGTGAGGGAGCGGTGATTAGTGCAATGCACTGTGAAACCAGTGATCTGAATTCGATTCCGGGCCAGATCTAACATCAATGGCAAGTGATATATTCAATTCAGTCCTGGACCAATCCCCCTTTCACCAACTCTGACCAGTGTGGTGAAGTATGGTGAAAAAACACCCCCCAACACCACGTCACGTGGAGATATTAATGCAGCACTGGATTGATTATAATTTAATACATTAAAATGCAAACCAATTACCAATCATTATGGAAAAAAGTACACATTCATTGTTACCCAAATGTAGAAAGACAAAATGAACACTATTTTAAAAAGTATTTAAATGACAATTGCTATCCGCTGTGAACCTTGCAAGAGGCAAGTTGTAAGCCACACTGAAGCCCTGCCAATGATGGGGGGTGAGTCTTCTAATAGCGGAGATCTCATATAATGACTGCAGACCCATCAAGGGCATTTAATAATTGATAGAGCAATTCACATTGATGTGGGTTCAGAAAGCTTCTATTACTGAATATGCCAGGGCAATCATTAGAACTGAACCCAGTCGGCCGCCTCCAGCTGTTCCTACATCTTTGCTCGACCAATTAATAAAAACTTGAAGAATACGTGCATTGCATGAATTACAGATTGCAAAGTTGCAAAGATTACATTTCTTATGGCAGGCTTATGTTGAGGGAACTGCAGTTGAAGAACATTAACGTAACCTCTATTTATATTGCAAAACACAAACATGACAACAAATAAATTGTGAAATGCAATTCCAGCATTATGTGGAACCGATATCGCGCATTGCGAAACTTGACACTGTATCGAGAAAATGTATTTCCCGGCAAAGGCGAAAGCACGCACGGGTTCTTCAACAAAAAAATCAGCAAATCTAAATCCAATGCGGATCATCAGATCATCTATCATTCATTCATTGTGAGCGAAGGAGCTTTGCACCAAACGTGTGACCTCTCGCAGCAGGATTCGCATAAACTGCTCTTGCTGCCATACACCGGCATCTCGAGTGATTTCTTTCATCCACGGATCACGGAGGGGGCGACCACGGGGGGGACGGCGCCATTCTTTAGAGCAGAGGTTTTTAACCTGGGGGTGCACGCACCCCCTGGGGGTGTGAGATGCCCCTTCTGGGGTGCGAGACATGGCCAGATTTTTCTAGAAGGTAAATCATCGAAACACAAATCAAGCACGGGCACATAAGTACAACTCCTTTGTCTCATCAAACCGATATATCTATTAACATTATATATATAAAAAAAACATTTGTACGATTGAGAACCAAAGGGGTGCAAGGTTAAGAACCACTGCTTTAGAGGGTCACGGTCCGCTTCAAATGTCAACCGCGCCAAACTGAAGGGCGCAATTTGCTGTAGTTCACGCGTCGAGTCAGGGCGACGTGACCATAAAGCGTCGGCCGTCTCCCCTCGAAGCCGAGCTCTCGATCGCACAGAGTGCGGTCGTTAATCGCACACGACGCACACTTTTAATTTACGGAGCCTCGCAAACGCTTAGTGCAGAGGGACACTTGCAAATTGGCTTAGGGCTGGGCTCGAGCTGCAAGGCAGCGTGAAGTGGGGCGGTCACCTCTGTAATCTGATTTGGTAGCCCGTGCTGTTCCCATTGCCACAGCTCTCTGCTCGCTCCACCGCCACCCGCTCCGCCACCTGCACGCAGAGACCGAAAAACATGGGCGGCTCGATTTGCTCTCTCCAGAAAGACAAAGGCACCCCGCGTAGCCTCAACAGACTGCTGGGGCAAGTGCAGTTAGCAAGCAGTGCCTGTGACCACGAGGGGGTGGGTGGTCAGCACCACACCTGGCCGGACGGCACGCTCTCTCCACTCTCGCCCTGACAGTCACACTCACCAGGCAGCCACTCCTCACCAGAAACCCACCACTCACCTGTCGCTCACTCTCGCTACTCACCTGTCACTCGCTCTCACTACTCACCTGTCACACATCACTCTCATCACTCACTCACCGGATGCTCACTAATTTTAATCCAGACTATTGAATTACGCATGCAGCAACAATCACTTTTAAAGGCACTTAACGGTTAAAGACGCAACCTAAAACAGGGGATAAAGACCACGCTTTGTGCTCGGAAGTGTTTACTGATAATAAAGTGACATCCCAACCTGCATGACGACATGGCTCCACAAGGGTCGCGACACGCTTTTAATAAATAAATATATGTTTTGGTCCATTGGGCGGCCTACTGGCTTTAAAGCTGGCGGTATCCGTTTAAAAAGCCTGACTGTGCAGAGGAGACCGAGCAATTTATGGAATATTGTGATTGGACTGCCAATAAAATATGGTGACACAACAACATTCGTTTAACGTGGCCAAATCTGCTGATGAGACTGAGATGGTCGAAATCCGCTCCATAGTTTATTTGTTTAAACATACACTGCCGAATAATATGGTTTTGGAAGGCAATAGGCCGATGGGCTAAAACCATATTTGCTTTAATTTGTGGCAAAACAAAACTTCTGCTTTTCCACGCCTTTACCCACAACTCTCCAGTTCCCCGCACCTCCGATTAGCACGGTTGGCTACGTACGCTGCAAAACAAGTTAAACATACATATGGAAACAATGCATCATGCGTTTGTATACAACTATACTTTTTAATGCCGACCAAGGACCCCCGCAGTTTAGACGGCGCAGGACTTTTGTCGGCCGCTGCCACTCACCGAGATGGCGCTGATGCGGCGCGGCTGCGTGCACACGATCCTGCATGCCGAGCCCTTGCCGCGCTCGATCTGGTCGTCGAGGATGAACTGGGGAACCTGCGTCGTCTTGCCGCAGCCCGTCTCCCCGCTGATGACCACCACGTGGTGATTGTTGATCAACGCCAGCAGGTCCTGTGTTTTGCGATTTCGACGGGGCACAGGTTGTGTTTTTTTACAATTTTAAACGGCCGTTTCTGTGTTGTACAAGGCCCACGAAGCGACAAAGCTCTTTTTCAGAAGTGACCTGGCGATGACAAATGATAGCTCAACGAAGTGGCTTGTCAAGTGGAAATTTATAGCAGCCAAATACTCAAGCTCATCTTTCTAAATGTGGAGGGAAAAACCTGAGGACTCGGTAAAAAAAGCCACACCACCACATGGAGAACATGCAAACTCCAAATATACAAGCATCTCGCCTTACATAACATCTCATCTCAAACATTTAAAGGGCACCCCCCAGCGGCAGCTGTCCCTGTGCGGCACAGGGCGACTCAGGAACGGCCTGCAAGTGGGCATTAGTTCTGTTGACAGGGGGGGCGACAATTACTGTTGCGTAATCCCAGTTGAGTAATTTGCAGGTACTGTAATTGTTATTAGCTTTTGGGGGGTCATTTTAAATGTTGTATAGGGTGGAGATGGCTGGGTGGCTCAAAAGAGAGTGCCGAGCTCGCCATTGCATTGAGGGTGACCAGCACGGGGACAGTGCTAAGATCAGCTCATGTGCAGGAATGTAAATGGATTGTACCATCGTCCGCACCTCCGATTAGCATAGTTGGCGATGTACGGTGCGAAAGAAGCTCAACATGCGTACATTCAGCACTGTGAAAGAATGGTGACAGGTCGAGGGAGGCCTTCATCCAGCAGTGGATGGACAATGGAAGATGATAATGTGTATATAAAGTTGTCAAAGGCTCCTTGACATACGATTTGATATATTCATGGGATTATTGGTGTCTATCGACAGTTTTAAATTACGTTTACAATGTTTCACTCGGTACACTTACCCGTTTCATTTTGTAAGCAGGCAACTTCTCTCGGAACTCCTGTAAATGAGTCGAAAGCGTAAATTACTACCTTGTAGAATAAGGACAGGTGACATACAATGTCATGCTTAATAAATGTATGCATTCGAATACGACTGTTCCTTCCGTGTCCATCATCACAGACCAATTAGAAAGCTCCCCAGTGTTGATGCATCATCACCGAGTATAAGTTGCATCTGGTGATTGATGCACGAGTGGTGAGTGATAAATGACTGTCAGATGAATGGACAGTGTAAAGTGTTAGGTGAGGGGTGGGTGTCTGGTGAGTGTGACTGTCAGCTGACTATAAGACAAGTGGAGAGTGCAAGTGTCTATCGAGCGGTGAATTGCTGTGACAAATTGTCAAATCTGACCTGCATCTTTAAAAATTCCCGGTTGCCTTCCCGATTCTTGTGCAACTCCTGGCGCAATCTTTCATCGAGTTCGTGATCGCGCTCCAACGGTTGCCCAACCATCTCATCCACCTCTTCTATTTCATTGGGCGGAGGGACCTGTCCTCTATCACCCTCCTCCTCCCCATCTGACTGGTCCCACCAGTCAGGGGTCTCCACCTTGGCGAGCGGCTTCAAACTGGCACCACCGCTGAAAGAAGAGTCGGTGGGAGTGGTGACAGAACAGGAGATTTTTTCAGTGGCTGAGAATGTGTTGTTGAAACCACAATTTATTCAGAAACAAGGCAGAATATCATACATATCCAAGGATTCTGTAAAAATGTTCCAACTTCTGAACAAAAACATACTCGTGAACCGGTGGATCATCCAAGCCATGGCAGCACAGCAGCCATCACAGTACGGGTGACATTGTCACTGGTTATTCGCCGCACCGAGCCTGAACCAAACCATGAAAGGTCGGCCTCAAGACATCCGAATCTGGCCCAGGGCCCAGCAGGGCCAGGGCCGGGACTAAAGTCGCAGAACACTGTGAGGAAACGTCACTTCACCATCTACACTAACTAAACTATAAACTATTTTTTTATTTTACCAGTTAAGGCCTACTGAACTATATAGCTCTTTTTCAGAAGCGACCTGGCTACAAATGATAGCTCAATGAAGTGGCTTATCACGTGCAAGTTTATCGCAGCCAAATACTCTAAACACATGTTGATTCTAAACGTGGAGGGAAAAAACCGGAGGACCTGGAGAAATAATCCACACAACCACAGGGAGAAAGAACATGCCAACTCCAAATATACAGGCATCAGGGTCGGGATCGAACCGACGACCTCCTGTATACGAGGTGAGGTAGTTAACATCTCGCCACCATGGCACACATGTCTGGCATCATTGTCAGCGGCTCTGCTCAGCTTCTGTAGTGAAAAAACTGCTGAGACATGCTGGGCTGGCTCGGAATGGGCCCGGCAGCAGCTTGGCCGTACAGTGGAAAAAGAGGCATCAGTGCCATAGCATGCAAATGTGATGTCTGTTGTGACTGCACCACTTGTGGTAAACGTACTCCATTGGCTGCACCCTCCAGCTGGTGCCAGGAGCCTGGGCGGCATCCAGATCTCTGCAAGCCTCCTCCCTGTCCTCCTTCTTGACGGCATGTAGCAGCTGAGTGATGTGCTGCTCTCGGGCTCCGTCCATCTCCACCACAGCGCGCTTAGAGAGCAAAGTGAAACGCATCGCGGCACCGTGATAATGCACAAAGGTGGGCTGCTCACAAATATCATGCAGGCACAACTCCCATCAGGCCTTGCGTGCACCTCACATGACGACCACATTGCAGGCACAAGGCTGCACTTCCAAGACCATTGACGACAACTATTGTTGGAGCGCTGTAACACGGCAAGCCACTACTTCCAGACGAGACATTTCTTTGTACGGTTCAATCTCGCGTACCCGACCGACACATATCCGCCCTGATCAATTAATCGCCCAGTGGCAGTTCTGGGATAATGGCATTCGTCACGTCTACAATGTCCCAAGGGGTACACTAAGAAAACGACTGCCTGGGGCTGCCCCAGCGCTACTAACGCTCATCTCATCATTGATGGCTATGGCTCCACAGCAAAGATCTGTGACACGGACAATCATTTGTCACTTTTGTTCGAGTTAAGAAGCCATTACAAGCCGCCGTCCATTTTGAACCACCTTTAATCGAAATAGACACTTAACTCATTCTTAATAACTTAACGTTTTTGTCCAATAACCTATTTGTGCACATTTTAACTGTACATTTCTACAGATGAGAATAGGGGTTTCACCCTTTTATCTGGCAACAAAACAGGTGTTCAGTTAAAACACCAAACTGAAACCTTTTACAAGGAATCATGTCTGCATTAACCACAATACTTGTGGTCAAAATGCAAACAAAAAAACACTCTCATAATATAAGCATTTTTTTTTAAACTGATTGGTCCACACCAGAGACAGATTTCTTTTGAGCCTTGTCTCAAACGGTGTTAGACCAGAGGACACCAAAAGGCGTACAGCACAAAGACAATGCACTATCAGAGCAATGTTCACATATAGCGATCTAATAACATATCCGCCTACCCCTCAGTCCCCAGAAAGGTAGGGTATGCGACGTTGTACTGTATCCCATAATCTCGCAGGGTGTACGAGGAGTAGTAGACATATCACCACCACTATTACAACATAAGATCACCCCCGTAACATCACCACTGGGGAAACAAATGCGGCCGGGCGTGGAGTTGGCCACCCACCCCCTTACGTGTGCCATGCCGCCCGTCATAAGTGCTCGCTAACAGCACTTGCTCCTAGGGTCCATTACGGCCGTCAGTCACCACAATCACAACCATCACCAGCAAGCACCGCGACGACCGACGACGCAACCACAACGAGCCATCAGCGACGACAGCAGCACTCACGTCTCGCCGGTCCCGCGCTCTGCCCTTGCCGATGGACTTGCGGGAATACCAGAGGCCGATATCTCGGCCCTTGAGGTGGCTGGGATGGCGACCTCGGCCTCCCCGCGGCGGCCCGAAGCCTCCCCCACCGCCGCCTCCTCCTCCTCCTCCCGCCTCGTCCATGCTCGCAAAATCCGAGCCATCGTAGCAGCGGTCTCGGGCCCTGCCCCGAGAGAAGCGACCTCCACGAGTCGCCATCAACAAGGCAACACGGGCCTGGGCTCCCCCCGTCGACTCTATCCGACACAGGCGACGTTCACAGAACCGTGGTCGTAATTAACTACAGCCTCGATTGACAGGGGACGAACGTGATACTTATTGAATGCGCCCTAGCTTCGCTTGGATATTAGCAGCCGTGTATTGTACTTGTCAAGCCACCGTTCCACGAACGTGCTCCCGAAGCCAATGCAATGTCGGTTATAACGGGTTGTGTTTGACTATACTTCACCACGCCGGTCAATGCGGTGTTGGTGATATAACATTTTTTTAGGCGTGGGGAGGGGGGGAGTAATTTTTTCCCAATTAACGTTGCCAATTATCAGCTTCCTCACCCACCAAGGGGGTTAGCGGCGTCTAGAAATCTCGGGGGTAGAACGTCACTCGTTTGATAACAAAGCAAAACACAAAACAGACACGCAGCCACCTTTAACAAAAAAACTAAAATTACACAAAAGATGCCTCGCGCTGAGATTTAAATAGTATATAGCTCGCTCGCTCGCTCGCTCCCTCGCGCGCGCGCGCCTCGAGTTCCCACTTGTTTTTGATTCCCGCACGGACTCGACCTGGCCGGGCTGAGAGGCGCCCCGTCCGGCAGGCGGCTGCTAGCACCACGCGGAACGCACTCCCCGGCGCTAGGCCGCTCTTGTTTCGGGCGGCTTTTACGATTTTTTTAATTGAACAGAAATGTACAACCCCGTGCGGGAGCTATTAAATAAGCTAAATAATCCGCGTAGATTGTTGGAAATAATAATGATATATTTGATTACATTTGGTTGAAAACGGTTAAAGTTGCCAGCGGTAAACAAGGCGTCTTGACGCACGGGTCGTGAGGGCGGCACCCACAATGCACGGCGCGCGCTGACGACCGACCACGTGGTGTCTGGAGTTGCGAAGAGCTTTAGAGATTTGTGGATTTCGGATATTTGGAATCCCAGAGATAAGTTTAATCGTTACCCGTGGCCCGATTATCTGGGTCGCAGATCATTCACGCTCGCGGAATAAACAAATGCAATTTTTCTTCTTGGTTCATTCGGTAAAGTCACGTAGAAGGAAAATAATAAAATCACCAAGAAGATGAATCCCTGCAGTCACGAAAGCTTTAAATCGAAATGCAATTTTATTAAATCACTGGTCTATGTTGGGTTAAATAATCAAAACACCTATTAAAGTAATTTTTTCTCAATAACACCGTGGTCTTAAAGGAAACAAGTTACGTACAACAAGCGACGTGTGGTATCTGCTAGACGCATCTCCGTGTGTTCGAAGGGTCATTGTCCGAAACGTTGTCCTTCTTCTGAAGGTAGATTTCCCGACACGTCCCCCTTTATGAAGGACAATTACCCGAAACTACGCCAATTTTTTCGTGTTGTTTTTTTTTAAGGCCACGGTGTTATTTGACGAATGTCTTTGAGTTTTTTTTTTAATTTGACCGTGTATAAGCCAGGGTGTTTTGTTGAACCTAACACCTAGGAAATCCAGGCACGGATAATTAATGAACAAACAAATGGAGTCTTACAAAAATGTATAATCTTAATTTGGGCAATATTGGCTCAACACAAGCAAATTATTCATTACTGGACCGGTTTTGACATTCAGAATTATGATAATGCATACAATACAGTCCCTGTACTGTAGTATGTTGTGTACTGTACCATATTACTGACCACATTGACATGTGGTACTGTAGTTTTACAGCGCACCACTAGGTGGCAAGAGCGATACATGTGCGCGATATTGCGATATATTATTATCGGACGATTGGCACGGTTGACTATGTACGTTGCGAAAGACGTTCAATATGCATAAATACATATAATAAAAGTCTCAGTTTGGTGTAAGGCCCACGGAATTTCTATGAGAGCAAATATCTGTGCATTTATTGTGAAATTAACTCTGCGTCGTCTAGCGGCCAAGTGACATTGTTCAAGCGGTCTTGTTGCAAAGGTTCGCGGTTCGAACACAGCAGCTGCCCCGGTCAATGCTGCGGGTGTATTTACCGAACGTGCGAGCCGTCCGCCTCGCAGCGGACGGTCAAGGTTTCCCGCGTCGCTATTCGAAAGACGACCGAGCCACGTGTGCCGGCGTCACGCTCCAAACTTGTCAACATTGTAAGGTAATCTAGAATTGTAAGGTAACTAATTGCGTGAAACAACACAGGAACATCACCGCCGCCGCCCCCTCTCCTACTGGCAGACCGTACACGGGTACCAAATATCCTTTGATGCCAGGCCAACGCACGTCACATTGAGCACTTTTTGCCACATATTTGGGCGATCTTGCTAATGGCGAAATGATTTGCTTGCTCTTGATCACAATTAATCCATTAGGATGAAAGAAAATCTGAATATCAGAATTATTCCTAAGAATTCGCTGGCATCGCTAAGATTACGGGTATGAATCCACGCAGCTTGCCTATGATTTACCCGGGTTACCAAATGCAGATAGTTGATGGTTTCAGCGTGATCACCAATGGCTACTCAAAAATATACCCCGTCACAATAAGGCTTGTTTTCCACTTAATTTGGCTAAATTCCAGCTCTGTGAACAAAAAGGTTAAAACAATTCCATTATCCGATGAACATTACTCTCATTTGGCAGAGCGGGCGGGAAGGTGCTTCCCCCTTTGCTGTGAGGAAGGAATCTCCGAGGCAGCTCTGTGATATCCTCTTCCGCGGGCCGTTCTCTAACACGATTACACGAATGGTTGCCTACGCTGCTCTGCGAGAGCTCCTAATGCAATCTGGAAACCTGGTGGGAGGGAAAGACTAAAACAAGACCCCAATGGTAACAACGTTCTAAAGAAAGAAAGAAAAAAAACATCGAAATCTGATCCTGATAAAGTGTACAATAGGTGGACTGGGCCTTGAATGAATCCATATGCGGCAATCTGTTCTTCATTTGTATGGGATTTATTGCTTCCTTTGAACTCGCATTGCTGTCTTGGGTTTTTGTTGTAAAACTCAACCCTAGCAGTGGGAGTTGTGTCAATGGAACGAATAAGTCTGGCACGCATTGCGTTTACAGCTGACTTGGTTTCCCGAGATTTGTGTGTGTTTTTGTACGTATGCAATTTAGGTGTTTTTATTCGTCCTTTTAGTCGAGGGTGACTGTGACTCGCTGCGGTGGCGAGATGTTTACTAGCTCGCCTGGTATGCAGGAGGTCGTGGGTTCGATTCTGACCCTGACGCCTGCTGTATATTGAGCGTTTGCGGTGTCTCTCTCCCTGTGGTTGCGTGGATTTTTCTCGGGATCCTCCGGTTTTCACCTCCACATTAAGAATCAACATCTGCGCTCAAAGTATTTGGCTGCTATAAACTTCCACGTGATAAGCCACTTCGTTAAGCTACCGTTTGCGGCCAGGTCGCTTCTGAAAAAGAGATATGTAGCTCAGGGGACCTTACTTGGGAAAAATTAAAAATAGTTGATAGTTTTATTTTAGACTGTGAGTGTGATTAAACTCATCATCAGGTGTGACTATGACTGGGACTGCTGAACCAGAGACCAGGATGTGTGACTGACCGTGAGTTAAACCCGCCACCACCTGACAGCCGATTAGTAAGGGTTGTCACGTAAACAAAACGTGCCCATTCGTTACTAGTACAGCACACCGGATGTATGCTGGAGAGTAAACCCACTGCAACATTCACAATTCGAGTACGGCTTTTTGCCGGCAATTACAACTAGCTTCATCAGGCGTTCTTAAGCATAGGGACACGTGATGTGGTCACCTTGGCTCACAGGTGACGACATCACATTTTCAGCAGCGCTATTCGAGTTACGAGAGACAGCACTGCACAGAGGGAGACCACGCATTCTGATTGCCTTTACAGTGAATATTAATACAAATACAGTATTGACTAAGTTTAATGCTTTGTATCAACACTTGGCAAAATACCAAAGTTCGTATGACCATGAGGACTTCATAACAATATTTATATTTTCATATATATAGAAAAAACACAGCTCAGCGTATAATTTACAAGCTTCACCATTTTTGTTTTTATAGATACTCTGTAAATATTGCCAATAGAGCCCAAGTAAACATCTTCTACACGCCAACGAAAAGCAGATTTAATTGAATTATGCGGTGTTTAGATTGCAATCACTAACCCGGAGTAGGGGAATTGCAGAGATTGCGACAGATTTTGTTATGCTTGTATTGGCAGAGCAAAGTGATGCTGATGCTCGTGTTGCAATTGAGCGGCGTATCAGCTGTGTATGTTGCAAGCGCGGCATAACATTGTGTATCATCTGTGGAAGGCAGTCAACAGACCAACAACGTATTCGAACCATGTCTTATTGGTACCTACGAGGGTGGAGAATGCTAGCAATGCTTTTCTTAACGCATGTTATGTCTAGATCACAGATATCTATGATGGCAAGGATATCTTGGTAACTTTAATTAATTATGCTGTTATTGAAGGGTACCGTAGGCTGCCCCGGTAAATATGAATTGTTGGGCGAACGTTGGTTGAACGTTGGGTCAACATTAGCCCTACGGTTCCAACCACGTTGGCACGTTTACTGGGCTTGAGAGAGAATTTCGTTTTTGAAGAAAAAAACCCCAAAATGAAATGAAGCATCTACGGAATATGAGAATACATATTGAAGCTTGTCTTTATAACAGACAGCATTTACGCTTGGCTTTCTCCGGATGGTGGACAATGCCCATGCCAAGTGGTATCGCCCAGCCCCCATGGGCACACGGGCTAAGTAGTAATTACCTTCACTAAACTGCAATGCTTATTATTATTTTTGCCATTTCTCCCGGCACGGCAGTCACAACAATGGTGCAACTTTTTTAACCCCCCCGCCCCCCACCTGCTGCCTCTGTGCAGCCATAAATCGACACGAGGACACCTTAGGTAGTGGAGCAAGAGGATTGGAGTTGTGGGGCAGTGAATGAGCGCCCTATGCTCTGAGACCCAGACCATCCGTGGTTACCGGGACAAGGCCAACCCTCAAGGCCCTGAAAGGCTTAGTAGCTCCATTATATCTCGGAGATCGGCTGACACCGTATGTACCTGTCCGGCAACTTCGATCCATCGAATCATGGTACCAAGGACGGGTCTGCGTTCGATACGCGGTAGAGCATTTAGTCTCGTTTGTGGAACTCCTTGCCCCAGTGCGTTAGGGACGAGGTCTTTAAGGCTCGTCTGTGAAACACATTTTATTTCTCTTGTGTATCCGTCCTGTGCCGGGGGTTGTTTTCCTCCTAGTTTTAATGTTCAGGGGTTTTCTGTTGTTGTTTATTACTTGGATTGCATTGTGTGAAGCGCGGCGAGGCCTTGCGTGATTGGCGCGATGATAAACCGAGTTTCACTTTAACTGTTTACTTACTCCACCGAACCCTCTTCCACCCTACCTCAACCCCCCACTTCCACTAACCCGCAGTGACCAGCGCGGTGAAGTATGGCCAAACATTCAAACAACCGCACGTGACTGACGGACACGTCACGTGTAGGACATTTGTACAGCAGTTGATTGGCCAAGGCCTGCACAATTTTTAAAATGCAGTTTACTTTTTTTAGGAAATTCGGTCTATCGTCACTGAATTATGAGAGGGCACGTGGCTTTGAAGGTGAAGGCGAGAGTGTGTCACGAGCAGACTATGACGCACCCGCCCACGTGCCCGCCACACGAGGCAACATCTGTGGTCGCTTAGTGCTGCGCTGAAACTTCTTACACCTTTGTCTAATCGCAAACACAAGCAGACCTCCGTCCCGCGTCTGCGCACACAAACAAAAGATGTTTTAGTCCAAACACATTTCAGCCCATCCGCCTGTTGGATTCCTTCCACACTTATTATCCAGCAGCATATGTTTAAGCGAGCAAAGGCTGCTGGAATAGTTTCGACT